CCTACTTGGAGTAAATTAGTGAACAACAATGCCCAGGCCTCTACTTCCGGTCTATACTTACTATCTACACCTTATGGACAGAGTTAATTTTACAATAATTCTATATATATATATTTTTTTTTTTTTTTTTGCTCCTGAACTTCTTCTACTCTCAACCTCTCCGATCATTTTCATGGTGTCCATCCGGTTTGCTTCTATATGGCATATCTTTCTAACTGTGCTCCTTCCCAAAAGCTCCCAACATACAACCTATATACTTATTATGGACACAGTATGCTTACATTATTAGCTATCTTTGTTATTATTTGTTGTTATTTGTTATTAGTCCCATCCTTCAACTCTATTCAATACCTCCCATCTATCTCTTAACACCATCCATATAGGATTTCTATTTGCCATATATATTTCAACCGTACTGTGATGTTTTACAAACATTCTGAACCTTTCTATTCTCATTGCTTCTACAGATTGTGAATTAAAAATAAACATTTTTGCTAAAAGTATTATTATATTATTGACCTAAGGTGGCTCTGGGTTAATTGTATCAATATGATCACTTACACTTAATTTGAAATCAATTTATCTTGCATAAAGTAAAATGTTTTTATGAAAATAAATAACAGAACGATTCCTCACCACCTGAAGGTTCAATTCCTATAATAAAACAGTATATCATAGTGTGTTGCCATTTTGGTGTTGCCATTGGCCAAAATTGGCCATGCGTTGGAGTTTGTTTGGGAACTATAGACCTTCAAGTGCAAACAAACCAAATGTGTTAGCAGATGCCATCTTGTGGTCACTTAGAAACAGTGCTTTGTGAACATACTAAGGAACATTGAGCGAGCTACGTATGTCGGCTACTACAGTATGAACAGCCATAGTAGAGCCGGAGCTCAGTCAATGACTTACACATCATAGCAAATGCTTTCTCTCTAAGGTCTAACTTCATATGACCTTAAAACTTTCAACACTGTACACAGCCTCCACTTCAAATTAACTTTCCATGACCAATCATTGTGATGTATTGAACAATGATGAATTGAAAACAATGAAGTGTGAGGATGTCATGATTTTCATGCTGAATACTAAAAGCTCTGAATTGATGATGTAGACTCAAAGTTGGAAAATATATTTATCTGTGAAAATATAAATGAACACTCAATGACAATTTACCCCCAAAAAGTGCCTTGACAAAAGGCCAAATTGTGACAAAGGGCAAAACTTGAAGTACTGCATACTCCAGAAGTGAATTCAGCAAGCAGACTGAATTACAGACAGTGCAGGGGCAATTTCACTCCTTGTGAATTCTTACTCTCTGTCTGTATGTATGTATGTCAGTTATCTCTCTCTCTCTCTCTCTATCTCTCTCTCTCTCTCTCTCTCTCTCTCTCTCTCTCTCTCTCGACACTTAGGCAGTTTCGCTAGTCTCCAGGCAACAGCTGAGGTTTTGATGTCTAAATGTTTGTGCACTAAATGTCTCTTTAATTCATTTCCGTAATGCAGTGTTTGAAGATATGGATCAATGCCTGCTGCCTTTGATGGTCATCCTGGTACTCAGAGGCATGTCATTGTACCAATCCTGCACTACAGAAAACAACAAGGACCCCATCACATGATGCAGCCAACGTGGCCATGCAGATCCTTTCATTGTTGTCTCATCATAGAGGACTATGTGCTATTTCTGAATCACATCACATAGACAGATAAGTGTGCAACCATGTGGAGAACCTTTTCTTCTTTGTGTACAATTCCTAAAGGTACTGGGAGACCATTATACAGTAAGCAGGTATCATACCAACTCTACCCTGCACAGCCTGCATTGAGAGAAGAACAGACCAGGCACTATCTTTATTCACAGATCTTATCTCTTCATAATTACACCCTCTGCAAGATCAACACAAACAAATGGATATAGCAAGGGAGAGAGTGGGATGAGTTAATCCATTTTCTGTTTTGTAGTAACCTGACACAATGTGAATAGAACAAAGAACAGCTACAGGTAGCCATAGGTTTGTCTTGGAATTTGATTACATTTGCATTTTAGTCATTTAGCAGACGCTCTTATCCAGAGCAACTTACAGTTAGTGAGTGCATACATTTTCATACTGGCCCCCCGTGGGAATCGAATCCACAACCCTGAGCTACACGGAGCTATTACCCCCCACAAAGGATATGAACTTCTTGACAAGGTAATTTATTGAAGAGGTAACTGGTAATCATTAAATAAGACACCTACGTCCTGGTCAACACATTATTAATTGAAATAGTGTTTTTCTTTCACAGCATTGCATGTAAAACAGATAGATTAATCTAAACCGAGCAAGACTTTCCATCTACAAACTTCACTCTCTATTCAGCAGAAGGTATCTGCCAGTAAACCATGGCCATTCGAGAGAGATTATGGCATAACCGATTTCTAAAATGTGATTAAAACCAGATGGGAGTGCAGATTGTATGAGGCAGAGGGTTTTACGGTATCACACAAAAGCGTGTTTTTAAAGCAGCGTTTCATGTCCTGCCATCTAAAAAAAATCACTTTAGTGCTGCACATCTCTTTAGCAAATTAAGAATCTCTCCCTTTAGAAAAAAATTTAAAAGCAAGAAACAGGAATGATGTGTCTCTAAAAGTGATATTTATTGCTGCCTATCTGCTAATCCCTTGACCTGCTTTAATTACAGAAAACCCCAAAACTCTTACCACACATAAATCAATATTTTCAATCTATTGTTGAAATATGTGTGAAGCATCATGGAAAGGAAAAAACTGATTGCACACAGGGAAAATGTCTTAAGCCATCTTCAGCATGAAATGTAACAAACCATCTATACAAAAGGAGTACAAGGTAAAGCCTTTACACCCATATGGTACAATGAAAAAAGGTGCTTTCAAGTAACTTCAATGAAGGACCAATTCATTCTTTCAGATCAGAATCCTTGGTTGCCAATCAATAGATGCCAACATAAAGTGCCAACCCTGTAATAACTATGAACCACTTATCAGTAGTATCACTCACTTCTTGCCTCACCATTTGTGTGTGTGTGTGTTTTCTCAGCATAAGAGCAGCTCTTACACTACGGAGGCAAGAGAGTATCATGGCTGTTAGTCGTGCGTAGAGGCTTATTTGATATAATGAATGGAGGGAGGGATGTAGAAGAAGCGATGGGAGGGTAATTACTTTAATGGCTGCAAAGGCCCCTGTTCAAGACACCTTTGCGCACAATGGTTGATTATGGATGGTCATTTCAGCTTTCTGATGAAAACACAGAGCTCTTAGTCCCTGGGCTTGACTGATAATAGCATGACCAGAAATGTGTCAGAACAATGGAGTACTCAAATACGTTGTCACATCCTCCCCTGAAGGTCCAAGCCTTCAGTTCTGGGCTTCAATTCATAGAAATAGTGGTATTTGTTAAACACAAAAAAAAACAGGATGAAGAAAACAGGGTCAGAGGTTATACAGTATAATGTATAGAAAGATAGCAACTCAGTTCACAAGAGAAATTACCAAGAGGAAAAACAGAAATATCAAGAAAACAAAGAACTGAGCTATGAGTATTTTATACTTTATTTGAAGACTCAAACAAGATAACTCACTCATTTCTCCTCTCACTCATTTCTGTGCTCAATTAAGTAAGTTGACAAACACACTAAAAGCAGCTTAACTAATCTTAAGTGTCTGTAAATTGAAATAAGTGAATTCCAACTCCTAAAGAGAAGCAATTTAAAAAAAGAAACATGCTATATAGATCAAATCAGGCACAAAGAAATTCCATTGAAATTTCAATTGTAACCTTGTCATGCATTATGTTGTTACTCAAAGGAAAAATGTGACCTTCCTATTCGCAGCTAAGCACTTAGCAAAGCCATTCCATCAGTGCGTGGTTAGCAAATTAATTCATGAATTGCATGTAGTGCACCTCTGCTTCTCGGCAATACTGTAAGCTAAGTTCTCGTTGTAAAGCAGACACTTACACCAACATCCACAGTCCAATACAGTATTATTTGACTATGAAACGGTCCATTGTCAGGTGTAATACAAGTTGGGTAAAGTCCATCTATGTAAAGCCACCAAATCCTGACGGTATTTTCCTGTGCTCTTCTATATTTCACTTGATGATATAGCATATTAACAATACAGAGCATACAAGTTTTCATGGGAAGGAATGCCACAAGTTTGCTACAGCACAAGGCCCATTATCAAACCTGAAATTATTATGACCTTCAAATTAAAGTACACAAAGGAATCCATTTTTGTCAAACTCCCACACTACATTCTCAGCACTACTAGCTAGTTCTGTTCAATATAGGGTATGGTTTATCGTTTCAATTCATACTCAACAATTGACTTTTTGTTAAACTGTCACTGTACTGGGGTCTTGCTGTTCTGTAGTTTTAGTAAACACTGCACTGAAACATTACTTTGCAAACCGTTTTTATGAATAGATTATAAACAAATAGTCAAAAACAGCCATACATCATGCTTTGGATAAGTACAAAATATTTTTTGTGCGTACTTTACGTGGTCCCAATGCTTTAAGCACAACAATCAAAAACATTCTGAGCCAATTCAAATCTTCTTTCAAAAGATGGAACTAAATACTTTGATAAGCACAAATCCAGCTGTCATACATTCAATACATCAATATTCTGATCCTTCATGTAGTTGCAAGTGAATCAAAGTAGACTTCAAACGGTGTAGGCCCGGAATGACATGGGTAAGAACCATTCAACATGACAATGACTCAACAATAGGACGGCATAATCAATAATTCATTAAGTTAACCTTCAATAATACTGAAATATATGTATTTTCATATCAAAATACTTTACAACATACTGTGCTGTACTTGTGTTTTAGTGTGCCTTCAGCAGGACAAAGCTAACACAGGGGTGCTCTCCCTATTAGATGCATTGTGTTTGCCCTGAAATATACATCTAAACAGGGCATTTGCTTGATAGATACGTTGATATAACTGAATGAACGGTGAAGTACCTATCTTTATTCCACATTTCTGTATTTGGTGAAGAGGTTGTAGAGTACCCTCAGAGTAGACTTCAGGTCACAGTTCACAATATCTGCCAAAAGATCAGAAAAACCAAAGTCAGACTTTAGTCTGGGAAACATTTACAATAAAAATATCTAAAATGAGCCAGATTCAGAGCTGCGATTTACACGCTGTATGATACCTTCTTCAAACATCGCCTGTAATTGGAACCAGCTCCTGTTGCTAGCTACTGTATACTTAAGACACAACACCTATAAGATCTACATTAGCCCATTACATCCTGTGAGGCAAAACTGGAATCTTTCATCTACGCTATGAGGAAAGATGCATTATAAAAACAGATGTTGCCTGAGCCCCATGCTTCCATGAAGCTATGATTGCAGTGTGCTTTAAGTAGGCCTATTGCTATAATTTGGCATGCAACCACCTTTAAATCAAAGCTAAAGGGGAACACTCAATGTTACAGCCCAATGCAGTCATCATGGGCCACTCACTGGTGCTTGACCGTACCATTAAAACTGTTACAGGCCTCAGTTCAATTAACCCAACGGCCAAATGGTAATAGCCAGGGGATAAAAGTAATCCCACATCAAAAAGGGCAGTAGGTAGCCTAGCGGTTAAGTGTGTAGGACCAGTAAACCGAAAGGTTGCAGGTTCGAATCCCCGAGCCAACTAGGTGAAAAATCTGTTGATGTGCACTTGAGCAAAGCAGTGCCTGTAAGTCGCTTTGGATAAGAGTCTGCTAAATGACTAAAATTGATATTTGCTCTCTCTCTCTGTTGTTATGATTAGAAGGCATGCTCTGATATAAAGAGTGTTGAATGAATACTGCCCAAAGGGAAGAACATTCCCGACATTTTGTTGTTGTTGTTTAATCCCGAAAGACACAATTTTGAAATTCTGCTGTCACATATCTTTCTTTCAGAAACAATTTATGTGTACAGAATGAAGCCACACACCCTCTGCCCGTGGCTTGGGTTTCTCCAGGCCGCCATCTTGCATCAGCTCAAAGGAGAAGGTCACATTGTGCACCTATATAGGAAAAGAAATCCAGCATGAGCCATGCCAGTCCAGTAAGCAGCTCACTGTAAACTATTTGTAAGGGATGAAAATTAGTCTGATTTACAATGTAGCCTACCTTTTGGTCAAAATGCTCTGGCGTTAGGAAGAAGTTGACGAGAGGAACAAAGTAACCCTCAAGCAGTCCCATCAGCAACACCAGGTACACACCATCAGCAAACTTTATGACAGGTAAAACATACTAATAATGACCAGGTTCATCTTCAAATCATAAGCAGTTATATTCAAATGGAAACAAAGGAATCTCACCTGTGTATCCAATTCAGACACCTCCAGGTTCAACTTGTTCAAGTGCTTGTTCACAAAGGTGATCAGCGTCTGCAAGAAGGGCAGGTATTCAGTAAATGTAAATGTTACACAAACAATGAATACCGTCTATTTTTCTAATTAGGATGGAGACTTGCCTTTTTCACCACATTCAGCTTGTCTGGTGCATGGTCAAACAAGGTGTCAAACGCATCTCGCTCTGAAATCGAATAGAGGTTAAACCATTACAATAACAGACATCAGAATGTTCATTTTAGTAATATAGAAGGAATAAAATAGTAATAATGTAATGGCAAATTAACTAAAATAAATGTATGGTAATATGGCAAATTTCTTCTTTCATTACAACAAAGTGAAAATGCTTACCATGTCTTCCTGATAGAGCCCTGCAAGAAAAGAGAACAATGTATTTCAGCACTGGTATCGTACTGTCTAATCACAGCGCTAGAGAAAAACATTAGACGAAACAGACAAGTTCAAATGAGAAGAAAAAATAAACTAGGACTTTGTTTAAACTGGAAAATATTAATTGAATGCAGATGGTCTAATCAAGAGGGCCAGGCAGGAAGACAAACAAAGAGATCTGCGTTGTGGTTCTATCCAAGGAGCGGTCCGATCAAACGCTGTGTGGTGGGCCTGCCTGGTGGACATGTGCCCGGGAGGCAGTGGCTTGTCTTCACGGTCCAATCTTCCTCGGCAGAGGCATGCTTTAGCAGCTGCTGCCTCTCGTAGGACAACAGCCCAGGGCCCCTCCCTCTTATCTCCAGAGCTGATTTGCACCCGTTGGACCACTATTAATCAGCTGCAGCTCCATAAAGCAGTGGTGGGGCTGGCAGGGGCAGACCCCTGAACCCCCCCTCCCCTCACTAAATCTGCCCATCAGCATGGGGCTCCAACTGTCCATATCGGCCCCCCAAGGAGTTGGCGTGTCCGCATTGTCTTTCCGCTTTAACGCGAGACCGGGAGAGGCCGTTCCATTCCCCTCATCAGTCCCTCAATTGTTCCAACTGCTTCAATGCCCAGCGGACTCATTTGCTGACTGATTTGTAAACAGATATTTACAGACGTGATTCACCCAATAATCACCTTGTTTTGAATGACCTTTCCAAGGCAGAGTACATGATTGTGTTCGGTTCTCATCCCTCATACTTATACCTCCATTACCTTTGAATATGGAAAGCAAATGATACAATTAACATAATCTTCACTGCCAAGTTTCTAAGGCCTTCTTTCCTTAAACATTGGCCTTCATTTTCTTGGCTGCCTCTATAAACAATTTTCTGACATTTTCTCTTCATCCCCCTGAGGGTCTGATAAAGGCCTTGTGGAAGACAGCACAAGTTGGGTAGTTTCATTGAGACATCTGTACATAGTTAGTTAAAAGGGATGACAGTGAAGACATACTCCGTGTTCCCTGTGATCTCTTCCTGAACCTGGCGAGACTGCAGGATCCCCTCCCGTTTCTGTGGGGAACAACAGACAATTGTGAAAATCGGAATTTTCACTCTATTTTTGTTTTTTGTTTTTTTTTGGGGGGGGGGGTTCCCTTTTTGTGGTACAAAATGTAGCAGCAAAGGACTATACCTGTACAACCACAACTTGAATGGACACATGATCAGGTAGGCGGATGGGGGCGCGGCAGTGCTGAGACAGCGCCACCAATAAATGGAGAATGGCCACGATGCTTTTAGCATGGACGGCTAGGGGTGAAAAGAAAGAGGGAAGAAATGAGAGGAATGTTATAGTACATCCACTGGGCATTGTCATTAAACAGATGATGCACACGCTGGTGTACTGGAGCAGGGTTTAGATAAGAAGAAATTCTATTTTTTCACAATTATCAAGATTGGTGACTCTCAGCTTTCACAATGCCAAGTTGAAGGTTAAACAAAGGTCAAAAACAAAACGATAAACTCAGTGTCAAGTATAAAATAAACTTGTGTCTTTGGGGTAGAAGTAATGTGCCTTTGTTAGAAACTGTAACAACCCTTTCCATTCTTGTTGTCTGGAGTGTCATGTGACTGATACATCAGGCTGCTTCTTGAAAGATGGAATTCCAAAATACATGTAAATATGATATGATAATTTACCACTAAAATATTGCATTTACTATTTAGAGAACCTGTATGGGAGGATATGAGTGAAAAACAAAGGGATTAGCTGTCCTTTGATCACAATCAAAAACAATCCTATTGATTTCCTGAAGTGATTTTAGATCATCTACAAAGGATAAAAAGAACAAAGAAAATTAAACTGTAATTTAAGAGAATTAGAAGGTTACAATACACCAAAGAATAATAAACCAATGGGAAAAAAACATGGCTTCAGCATTTCCTTAAAAAATAAACATTGAAAAAGGAAATAAGACAATGAGTTTTTTCGTTGACATGCGTCATGAGTACCGTGACCTCCCACCTCTTGAGACAGGGATTACTTCTATGGTCATAATGTCAGAGGGTCAGCAGGGTGCAGATTAGTCCAATGTGAACTTTGCCTCTGTGCCTCTCTGTCACCCAACAAAATGATCAAACAAGCATTACCTTATTACATCACCTTTACATTGTCTTTTACACACACCATTGTCATAATAATAACTTTGATCAACACATTCCAAAAAAACATTAACAAATGTATAGAATACAAGGGATTCGAATGAAACAGTGCTCTGTGAAACATGTCACCTACAGTCAACGGTCCATTTGATGTTTCTGATTGAGACCTTCAGAGTGTCGTTGATCTTCTCCAGAACCGTCTGCAGCTTCTGCTTCTGGGCTATCTCAGACTGGGTCACCTCAGCCACATTCAGCCTCTCACCCTCCAGCTTCTCTGTAATACAAAAATAAATAAATATGTTTTATTGTCATACAACGAAAACACAGGGAGGACCATCAAATCCAATTGGAATCAGTCAAATGCCAGAGAATAATGTGCTGCATTGCAAGCATAGCAGGGATGTTTTGGAGGGAATTAAATACTGTACCAAAGAGTTTCTGCAGAACCTGCCCATCGTATAAGTCCTCAGCCAGGTCTTTGACAATGATTCTCTCCCCCACCAGCACATCATTGATCCAGTCTATGAGTACCTGCATACAAAACATGATATGGAATTTAACAGGCACATACACACTGTACATTCATAAGGCACCCAATATTGCTTTCCAATGCTTTGATTGTGACATACAGCAGTTATTTTATATCTCACACCTTCATCAGTTCTTGCAGTTTGGGGTCATTCCTGGAGTTTGGGTCAACCATGGTGCGAACCTCATTCTCCTCTAGAACCACACACACACACACACAGGTTTAGAATATAGACAATGAGAGAGAGCACAAGAGAGAGCGAGAAAGTGAGAGCGTGTGTGTGTGTGTGTTTGTGTGCGATACACTGCAGGAGTGGAGATGGACGCCTTACCCAGCATGGTGTCCTCCGGGTCCAGCTCAAAGGGGATGGGGCTGAGGGGCAGGTTGATGGCATTCATCCCCTCCTCCTGGAGCTCAGACACTGCAGAAGCAGAGAAGCAGAGACCTTTAGTGGCCTGACTCAATGTGTGACAGGCTAATTATTATACAACTGTACTGAGACCTCCATTGAGTTGATGGGCAGGAAAAATGTGTCCAGCGGAGAAAATCGGAGGGCAAGTCAAATAGCATCAGCAACACACAATATTGGCCCTCATCATCTCAGCAGTAAAGCTCACATGTAGACAAATAACAGAGAGAGTGAGTCTTTCCTCTACTCACCTAAAGCTGTGCTCTACACCCATTCCACCCAATTTAGGGCTCTTTTCTTCAGGTTAAGCTGTGCTCTTCATGCCAGGTTGTCAGTATTATGGCACATTGGTCTTACTGGGAAGAGTTGGCTCACAAAGCATGTCTCTAATTATAACCGGTTATCTTTGGTCACGTTCGGGTTAGCCAGGAGAGAGAGATCTCAGTCTAGCTTTGATCAATAAATTGAAGCGCCTCATTGTAGCCAGTGATAATACTACATGGGGAGACTCCCATAATGAGCCAATCACACCATTACCGTAAATTGGAGGAGAAGTGACAGAGTGTATGTCTATTAACTAAGCAGTCATGGTCAGTTGCTCTGATAGCTCAGACCATGCTGATAGCCATTACCTCTTAGAAAATAAGCTTTCTCTCTGAGACACATCGCCCCACACAGGACAAGGCCATGCTCTCCCTCCAGTTGCTAGGCGTTCATAGATCTAGGCTCGGTCTCACGCTGCTATCCTGAGCATCCGCCTCCTTCCCTGATCATTTCACTTACCTCACCTGGCGTCGTACAAATTGGCACATGTGGGGAATTCACACAGGTGATGTGACAACCTGACCGCTCTGCCTGGCCATGGTGCCAGTACTGCCAGTTCCTGTCCGGACCAGTTGATATGTCAGTAAGATCACTATAGCACTGATGCAGAGCTGCATAACATAACGTGATAAAGGCCTGCTGAACAAACTACGATAGGTTTTTTTTCCGTTTCCTCCCAAACAGAGAAAGCACCCCCCTGGAGATGTCAACATCCTGTTAGTAATCAACACCAAGACCTCCCTCTGCTGTTCAGGCCTAACCCACAGAGACAGAGATACCTTCCTCCTTCGTCACACTAAAAGAGCTGCATCTATTTGGTTCTTCAACAGATTGTTGAACCAACACAAAAGCATCATCTGTATAATGTAAACCTCTCTGTCTCTCTGATCTGAAAGGACAGCTCCTCAGTTCACAGGTAGAGACACAACATGGTTCACAATAACGCTCATATAATTGAAATACTGTATGTTGCTGTCATGGCAGTGGAGAGGCCCTCCATGGAACGTACCCCTACAGGACCAGGTTTGTCAGTATCAGTTCGGTATTTTGGTGAATGGGGCTCAGCTGCAGACTCACTTTCACATGCCCCTCTGAGGTAGGGTAGACAAATTATTTCAATCACAGGAGTATATATAGGGCATGTCTGTATCAAAAGATATGCTTCAAATGTAATTAATGAAAATGGGTCAAAGTGTCTTCCAAGAGACGTTATAAACAATAATAGTTCTTCAGACATTTAATCATACTTGATGCTTGCTCATTTACCAAAAAGATTCAACGAAAACTCAAGTGCTTGTCTAATTAATACTTAATTGAAGGTATGATTTAAATAAATGTGAAACTATGAAGGCCTTGGCAGCCTCTGGTCTGAACTCAGGCAGTGGTTGTGCTGGAGAGAGCATGGGACTTTTCCCTCCTTCCTTGGTGAAGACATCTGTGATGGAATGAATACCAGCAGCCTCTTATCCTTACATGGCAGTAGTTCAGGATGTGTACTGTAAACACAGAGACACACAGCCTTCTCCTGCTATGGCTTGGACAGATACAATGTAATAAAACCCAAATAGATGCTGTCCACCTCACCAAAAACAAAATAATCTAAATTATTATCACAGTTATTTGATGATAGATGCAGACATCAAACTTGAAGAGGGTCTTTCAGTCACCATCCCCGTTGACGTATACAAAATGACGTCATGAAAATAGACACACCTCAGCAATTACAAGTAGGCCTATACTATTGCCGCGTTCAAAACAACTGGGAACTCGGAACTCGGAAATCTCCGACTTCACTCTTCATTGCGTTCAAGACAACTGGGAACTCGGGAAAAAAACGAGCTCCGACTGAGAATGCTTTTGAATTGTTAGATATACTGCACTGTTTGAGCTAGAAACACAAGCATTTCGCAACACCATCAATAACATCTGCTAAACGTGTATGTGACAAGTAACATTTAATTTGATTTGATTTTAATGTTTTTTTTAACGGTCAACCAACTCGGAATTCCAAGTCGGGAACTCGGGCATCTTTCTAGAGCTCCGACTTTCCGACATGAAGTTCACCGACGTCATGATTTGACCTGGTTTTTTCCGAGTTCCAAGTTGTCTTGAAAACACCATATAGCAATGTTTCTTAGCTTGTTTTCATGCAAAAACTGTAATTAATCTATTCAACGAAATGTTCAATTCTGAAATAGAAAACTGTGGAATGTGGCTATTTATAGCATATAGCCTACTGTAGCCTACTATTCAACAGGAATCATATTTTATTTCTAATCCTTTTTAGCTTTCGTGATGTCAACCTTTTTATGTAGATGCCTTAATAATAAACCAAATATAGCCTAATGAACGAACCTTCTTTTGCCTTTTTTCTTCTGGCCAAAGTTCCCCCGAGTTTTCCAAGGAAAGAGTCATCTTTTTTTCTTGAAGGTGGTGATTTTGGAGTCGGGGATTTGGGAGAAGAAGGTGATTTCTGTGGCGAAGAAGCCATTTCTAGTTTATTACTAAGTATTCAAGCTATTGAGACTGTGTTGTAGCCTATCATAGAAACAACTTTCTGCTTGTCAAAGTTGACGGAATAGCCAACGACGGAACCGGAATTCCAAGTATTTGCGCAGCCATCCGACGTCTCCCTGTTATTTGATTCCCGTACCAGTCCCATTCCCACCCACTTTTCATGGATATAGGAAAAATAAGCAAACAGGAAAACACAACGCAGCAGCCTGTCCAGCTATGAGGAATATCGGTATAGTGAAGCAAGAACCGATAATATAAAAGAATCAGAGGGTTTTCGATCCTATTCATAGGAAAATTAATCCAGCGAAATTATCAAACGTATTTTTCCATTGTTTTTCTGCTATCCAGGTTTTTTTATTACTTTCAGCAATATAATTCTCCATCAGTTTTCTTTTACTTATGCTAAACATGAGTTTCCATGGGGCTAGAACAAGGCCAATATAGGATATATCATCAATGATGTACAGCACACTTATTCTGCAGTCCTAACAAGGAGTGTAACAAACTTGTTCAAGGACCCCCATCCTTAGTGGGGGAGAATGGGTAAGACAAGGCAGCTGACTCAATCAGTGTTGAGCCAGATCAATACATTATTGCTTATTTACCACAGACAGGATCAATCAACTGGCTTCCTTGCTTTGTTGCCTCGTTCTGCTAATGATCTGGTGAACATGGTCTAGCTAGCACAGCTGACCAGGCAAGTGATGAGAGCTGTTAGCAAATCAATTACATTCAAGCCTCTACTTGACAACACAGGCCTAGACATTGCTGCCACATTATTTACCTCCAACATTTTGGAATGTAATCAAATATGCAGATGATAATAAATACATTTTTGTGTATTGTTTTTTCAATAATAGTAACATACTCTTGCTGTCTAGTTTTATGAAAAACGCTGGGTTGACAAAAGGCCTATTCACAGTGCAGCCCTTTTGCCCTCTCTTTTGATACAATTATGTGAACAAAGCCATGTAAACAAAATGCACAATGGCCCTGGCCTTGCACTGGGCTGTCATTAGAGGAGATATTTCCCATGCAGTACTGTTGGACTATCTGTGGCATGGCCCTGGTGCAGACAGTGAGGAGCCCCTCTGGCCTGGACGTCTGGCCTCAGACAAGGGGCCACTTCACCCCTAGAGCTCTAACATTGAGTTTGACCCATCTGACCAAGCTTTCAAATGCATTTCACTAGACTGACGTTCTGTTATTTGACAAGAGATGGACAGATATGCTCATAGCAGCTTGTTTTAAGGCAGGCTTTAAGAATTACATAATCAAATTGACTGATATTAGCACTCAACTGATATGACTAAGAGCATGCTTACCAACTTATATATTTTTCTTCTGCCATCAGGAGTTATACAGTAAAAGGAATAGAAGTCCTACATACAGTATTTCTCCTGAGACATGATTTATAATTAACACTTGTAGCTATTACTCTTCTGAGATATATTTACTGTAACAATGTGTTTTTTTTGCTGGGGGAACATTTGTTCCATTTAAGGGAATGATTTGGAAAGTGCTAAGATAATGAAATTGTGCATTTTTTTATTTATCCTCTCCACAGCTTTCTATTTTCATTGCCGCTCACATCTTCTGTAATTTCACTGCAATTTCAGCCTCAGATTGCTATTCTTTTTTAATGCCAATCATTGTTATTATATAACCTGTGTGAACAACTGTTTTTTTCTATTTAAGGTAAGGGCATTTACATGAAAATATGAAATGCTCCCAGGGTCAGTCCATAGTCACATTGTAGTCCACGGGGATGAGCAGAGAGGACAGGCAAATACAACAACGAACAGTGACCTCTGCAGTGGATTCCATTTTATAGCATTATTCTACCAATGCCCCTTGCTGTGCCATACTCAGTTCTGTGAAAGACAGTGAGGGGTAAGAGCAGGGCCACTTGACATATGTTTTGTGTGACTGAAACCTCATATCAGTCTTTGCTCTGCTGTTAGAGATACATTTATTTCTGAAATCACATTCAACATGTGCCTGCAGCTTCTGTTGTGTTGATCACATGCAGAGGTGGGAATGTAACTCTTGAGACTAGACACAATTAATGAGAGAGATCTGTGATAGGGCTTGTGTGATTATTTGTCAGTGCATGTGTTCCCCCATGGCCGTGTCAGCTCTGTTAGATTTTCCCCTGTGCTGAAGGATCCTGCTGTGGAGTGAGGCATGAGGAGCACGTTAGAGAGGAGGGGAAGCACTGAGCCCACAGCCCTCCTCCTTACACCTCCACATCCCCTCGACCTCGGCATCCGGCCTCCTCTGTGCCTCCTTTAACTCCCCGCTGTGGTCAGCTCCACAGACACAAAGAATAACAAAGAATAAAACCCTAAAATGCTCCCCTTCCTCTCACTGAAGTCCCACCTCTCTATCCACCATCCAGGGCCATGCACCCTGTCACCCTACACAATGGACTACTGTCTCATCTGAGCCCTTACGTCATGAGTGCGGCTCGCAGGTGGACTCCCAGAACACGCTGATCATAACGTACTGAATTAACAACATGCCTCTTGACTGATACACTGCTGTTATTTCAAAACGTTGCCCAGGTTAAGGACTGTCAAGTTCACAGGCAGAGGGCACCTCAGATGCAGCAGTGACACACACAAACACTTGTGCACACATCAAAACAGACTTGAGTTATCACTGTGATACTTGACTTGCCCTTCATAACTGGTCTAAGTTAACCCCAGCTCTCACCAATTCCATCTCCAGGCATTAAATGCTGTGTCCATGACAGACAAGTAATCCAATGCCAAAGAGATAATCTGTGCAGTTTGGTTGGGCTAAATGCTTTTAAACTGCATCTCTGTTCTCTTCAATTGCGTAAACAAGGAGTGTGTGCTGGGTCTAAATGACTTTGCATGATTTGTTCTCAGCCAGTGATTGAATTTAATATCACTAGCCAGTTAATAGGCAGATAACCCTTAGGTACTGTACTATATAGCATCTGGTACCTCCACTTGCCCAGACATCTGTTCCATGTTAAATAACTGACATCAAGAGATGTGGTTATACAAAATGTATAAAATAAATGAATAGAAGCGGTTATCACAACTGATAGCTAGCTATTCAGCAGGTTCCCAAAATAGAAACTGAAATCTTTAATTTCCTTCAACTGATAGACTTCATTAGAATCTGGTTCAGTGATGATCACATGTTGGTTCTGACAGGTTGGCACATGGTCACATTGTTTGTCAGATTGAGATGTGACTGTAGGTCGTGGTATTCAGAGCACCTTAACCTTTCCCTTGGGAAGATAATGCAGTCTGTCCTGTACAACTTGGCCTGTTTGTCACCGAACTGCCTTATCTAACAATAGAGAGGTGAGCCATATAATGGGAGCCAAACACTGGGGATCAAACAGACCCTCCCTTGAGCAATACGATTATTCAGGCGAGATTTCATCCTGTTGTAAATGACATTAAGCATGGAGCAGCCAGTGTGGTCTGATAGGAGAGATATCAAATCAGCCACTGTGCATATTGTGATACCAACATAAACCTGCCTGAAGCTGATGGTAGAAATGGTTCAGTGAGCTGAACAAGTGAGAAAGTTGGAGAGAGAAAGAGGAAGAAAGTGTTCCGATTCTATTGGTATGCTGTAGGCCTTTGTTCTTTTAAACATGTTTATGCTGGCCAATGCCTGAACCCACATATTAAACAATTACATAGAGGCATTTTTGGGTCATTTCCATGATCCCTTGATATGAGCCTCTTTCTAAACAACAGTGCTCTCTAGTGATTACCTGTTCCAATGACATGTTAGAGGACATGAAATATAATCAGTAGGATAGAATCATTCAATTAAACTGTTATGAGCTGTAGTAGATGGTAGTTGCCAACCCGTAAATGACTCATAAAAGTGATCAGTTAATAACTTAGATAACCTCATTTGACCCTTTTAAAGTTTATTTTTGAGATTGTTGAGATCACAATAGTCACTGTGAGAACTAGAGTCCAGAGGGTATTGATATTGCCTAGCAGAGCTGCACAGCAACGGGTGATGACAGAGGAGGAAGGAAGGGGCAAGAGGTACAACAGGAAAAGGAAAAGGTGGAGACAAGAGAGGAAGACCCTCACAGACAGAGAGGCAGACATACAGTACAGTGGCAGGGGAGAGACAGAGTAGGGGAGAGTGAAATACACAGGCACTATATATGAATGTTTCATCACCCTCCCTCTCCTGGGACAGTGACATAGATCAGGGATCAGACTGAGGGGAAGGTGTGAGTCAGAGTAGAAAGTGGAGCCATAGCACACTGTTATTGAAAACAGTGATTCTGCCAGTGGGTGTCATCAGAGGCTCAAAGTTAATCTCATCCAGGTCAGATAGGAAAAACAGTTCTCAGTCCCATAACCATCCACATATTAAACATTTCAGTCATTTAGGAGACACTCTTATCCAGAGCAACTAGGGTTAAGTGCCTTGCTCAAGGGCACATCGACAGATTTTTCACCTAGTCGGCTCGGGGATTAGAACCAGCGACCTTTCGGTTACTGGCACAACACTCTTAACCACTAAGCTACCTTCCGCCCATATGACTATAATCAGTCAGTGATTTACAAAGCACAGCTGCTGAATAGAACATTTCATGTCAAGGAGGTCAACTTTAATTGACTGTCAAGAGAGTGTGCTACTTCAGTTGAGTGCAATTTACCTTCGCAAGTAATTGTTCTGTAATTTCTGAAGACATTAAATAGCTCAAATACCACTTGAAAAATGTAAGCTTGCCCCTGGACAAAACTGTATTTTTCTTAAAAAATGATTTTACACATTCTTTACAAATCATTTATTATATTCTGTCCTATTGATCACTCAATTACCAAATAATGTTAGCTATGCACATTTACCCTTGACTTGATAGCTCCAATGGCCAAGGTAAAATGGTTGGCATTTCTCAATTGACAATCTCACATCTATGCTTTGGGTTGAATGCTCTGAAGGCAGCAGATGAATAAAGTAGAATACCTACTTTATTACAACACAAAAGAGACACACCTGTATGTCTCATGATTTATCTCACTGAAATACATTGCTTTTACAAAACTCCATTATTATTTAGTCAAGAAAGTTGCTTTTAAACACGTGGCCATCTGTAGACCTTTTGATTTTTTTAAGGGTCACATTTCCTCAGCCTCTCCCTGATCTCTGCTGTACTGGAGGTGGGAGTGAGGCACAACCTGCTGACCCCAGGAGCTTTGATTGCATCACAGCACACACACCACTGGTCCGTCACACTGTGTGATGCAAAGTTTCTGAACAAAATATCTAGGCCCGTCCAGGCTCGGTCTAGCAGATGTCCCAGGTCAACAGTATACTTAAAGTTGATGTTTGGTTTGGAACATCTCCCTCAAATGTTTGTGTGAGAGGCTCTGAGGACTCAGAGAAACAGACATTAGGGATTGCAAGTGTGTTTGGCTGAAGGGTCTTTTGGTTTCCATGGTGATAGGTTGAAGGGACAAGTGGATGATACTAGAAAAAAGAGTGCTTCAATAGTCTGTACCTCTGTTGTGATTACATTAAATCAAGCTTTCCCCTTAAAAGCAAAGCTAATGGAAGGTATTGGATACTGATGATAATGCAGCCAGGGACACATGCTGTGGCAGCTAGTATAATACATTGATTGTATGACGTTTCCTTTGAAATAATTATATTCTTTATAAACAGTACACACAATAAAAAAACACTTTAAATTCCAAAGTAGAAGCTTAAAAAAAAAAAAGTATTCTAGTGGTGTGGGGTGGCATGTAGCGTAGCTGTTAGAGCGTTGGGCCAGTAAGTGAACGGTCGCTGGTTCGTATACCCGAGCCGACAAAGTGAAAAGTCTGTCGATGTGCCCTTGAGCAAGGCACTTAACTCTAATTTGCTCCAGGGGTGCCGTACTACTATGGCTGACCCTGTAACACTGCACCTATCTGGTGTACTGTATGTGACAATAAAACATCTTAACCAGGTATGATGAGAGATGATTTCATGGCTGTTGACTAAGATGAATATGGAGAACTGACTCCCTCCTGTGAGAACCATATCTGGCAGAACTACCGTAGGCTGGCTGGAGAGAGAGTTGTATGGTTTGACATGTCCCCTGTGACCTCATCACCAAATAATCCTTTCTGGCTCTCACGGTTCCAGGAACCCATCCAGGAACATGTCTGTCTGGCCTGGGGCCTTATCAGCACTGGGACAGAGGGACTTAACCCGTCCAATTCTACATTTTAATTCAGGAGACATGGTATGTAGACTAAATGCTCTGTAAGGGGAGTTCATGTTTAGGGTTTACTTTGAATTGAATACTGCGCCTGTATACTATGTGATGCTGAACGGCTTGACTTAAACATGCTACCCCTATTTGTACTTTTCTATGTGCCATATCAAACCATGGGGAGAACAACATTGTGATGGTATGAAAGAATGACAGAAACTGGATCAGTATGACAAATCACTCAGTTCATTTATTTACATGTGTTTGCTTTAGAACATACATAAAGCAACACAGAATCTCCATGAGAAAAGCAGGCTGCATTTGAAGTCCCATGATACATTATTCAATGTATTCATTCAAGACAACATGAGTTATGAACCTGTTGGGAGATGAATTCCCTTCGTTTGTGTGGGTCAAGAAAAAGTTGTCCTGGGTGACAGCTTCTAGAAGAGAGAAGGAGAAAGAAAGAAAGATGGCAAAAGATGGGAGAAAAGGTGGTATGCCTTTACATGACAGAAAGCGGTCTGTCAATCTTTCAACATGCACTTAGGAAGACCAAAACAAAAAAGACAGTCTCTTAGAAGGTGTGACTTTGAACATTATATTACAATGTGTTTCAACCTACTTTACCCCAATAACAAGTGTGTGCTGTAGTTATGGTTCTGCTGGGAGTGCAGATGCAGACGAAATAGAAAAATCCAATGCAAAAAAACTGCAGTCTGTCGCTCAAACACACAATGTTCTAAAGGGGTTAGAAGCATGTCTTACTTGTGTGTGGAAGTGCTGACAGTAACTGGGACTAATCTGACCAGGCATCCACTCCAAAACATTATTCACAAAACCATGTGACCATGCAGGTGATCACCTTCAGAATGGCATGTCTCCTAACCAATCAGGAGGCTCCTCATCAGAAAGTTGAAAATAAACTTCAAGTGAACAAGAGGAGAAATGAAAGGAAGGAAATATAGTAGGTTAGAATACAGAGAAAAATCAGAGAAAGGATCAAATCCAGTTAAAATGCATAGAAAGTTTGTAAATGTTAGATAGTCAAAGAAAAGCATTGAGAAATGCATGAGAATGTCCTATTCAACAACACACAATTTAGCACTGTACAGTGTACTGCATGAATGATGTAACTTCTGGTTAGGGCTGAAAACACGTCGCATTTTTAAAGTGCAAGAACTGTATCTTTGGAATTTGTATTGGTAGTAAAGCTGAGATCCTGATATCATACTTAACATTGTTATTAACAGTGAGATTAGTGGCAAGCACATACACACCACAGCCTTCAAACATAGCCTGTGTTATCATGTCAGATTCTGTCCTCCTGAACAATTCCTTTCAGCAATATTCTTTACATTATGAAAAACATATTTAAGTGAAATAGACTTGTACAAAATAACAAAAATGAAGAAAAAACTCCTCTATTACAAACATACAACAACTCTTTAGAAGGTTGTCCCTTATTCCACCTCATCATACAGTAAATTGAATTTGGCCTTGCATCTGTTTCACCAAAAGGTGGCAGCAATGAGTGAGCATTAAACAGTCCATGAACTGGAGTAGTAAACCAAAGCCCATGGCCATGAAACCTCTTCCACTTTTTAAGTACAACGGACAATGCATACTGGAGGCACTGGGGCCATAAAAATTAGCAATAAAAGTTATCATAATGTGTAGTGAAAGTACACTACGGTCATGGTGTCATAGGAGATATTACAATAACAATGTTCAAATGTAAACTTATGTGTCAAACAATACTGAAATTGAAAAGAATATGAGAAAATCTGGTCGAGCACAGATCCACGTTGGCCCCCGACCCCGACCTGTGAGTTCAGCAGGGTTTAGTAAACGTGCAGTGTCAGCACTAGTCATTATCCAAGGCCTGGACAATCATTAGGCAGCCATTAACTCCCACACCATTCATCAGGCATCAGCCACAGGCCAAGGTAGCTCCCCAAGTTAAAGTGCTTCAAGTCAGTCTTTTCATTTAGATTACTTTTTCCACACAAAAAATCTGTCATAACCTGAGTTAAGCCATGTAAAAACGGGCTCCATTTTGACAGCCAGTTGTTGAAAGACTAAACTCTAGAGCAATATAGATTGGATGATTTCAGCAGTCATATCAAACACATACTGTAAATTATTTAGACCACCATGAAACCATGTACAGTACATTACCCCTCATGATAAAGAACAATATCATGTTCATGAAAAACTATCACACGTTTAACAAACCAAGCTACTGCTTGGGAAATGTTATTTGTTCTTTGGTTGGTGTAGGACTAGATCTAATGCACTGATAGCTACATATTCTGTGAGAAAATATTAACAAGGTGCCTGTACACATGGTCAAACGGTAGCTTGCCATCATATGACATGGCACAAATGCAAGATACGCCAGTTAATGTTCGGCCAGGCTTCAGACCCTATTGCACGAGGGTTAGGGACAGGGTAAGGATTAGGCTTCCCTCCCTGGTGGGCCTCTACATGAGCCTGTGGCCCAGGTGTTCCTCCAGCCACAGCAGTAGGGGCTGGATGGACTGGGAGACAGGCCCGGTCTCAGAGTACATCTGCAGCAGCACCTCCTGGAGTATGAACAGCAGGGGCACTCCCAGGCTCAGCAGCTCATACAGGAAGGCATAGTCCTGCACATTGGCCCTAAGGTGGAGGCCCATGGCCTGGGCTGTACCATGCACCCAGCGAGACAGGCGGCGGGGGGAGTCACACACAGCCCGGGTCACACTCAGGGGCCAGCTCAGGCTCTTCCTCAGGCGGGAGCTGAAGGTACCTGGTGACTGGCTCTGCAGGTCGTCTGTTGTGTCACCGTTGGGAGTCCCTGATCCCTCCTGAACCCCGGCTCCATTCTGACCCTGAGGGAGAGACCCATTTAGTCACAAAGACGTCACACAAATTAACATCAAAATGACAATGGGAAGTGGATGATTGAATGATCGAGAACAATTACCAGATGTGAATTGAATGTCCTTCGATGGTTCATTCCATTTTTACGTTGTGTGAAGTGCAGCTTGCAGTATAACTTGCCTAATTGAACATGACCAAAAGAGGATTTAGAAAAACAAGGTAAGAAGCTTGTTGACCTGTCTTTATAAGACAAATGGGCACATAAACAGTTTATTATCTCTACCGGGCACAGCCAGAAGAGGATTGGCCACCGCTCAGAGCCTGGTTCCTCTCTAGGTTTCTTCCTAGGTTCCTGCCTTTCTAGGGAGTTTTTCCTAGCCACCGTGCCACTACATCTGCATCGTTTGCTCTTTGGGGTTTTAGGCTTGGTATCTGTATAGCACTTAGTGACAACTGTGGATTTGATTGATTGATTGGCTGATTGATTCATTGATTGACAGTATACGAACATCTAAACCTTAGTGTTTGGGAAACACATACCCTGCTCAGAGTCGAAGGCATGGCCTCCCTGGCGCAGGGCGGAGCCACAGGTGTCACAGCGAAAGCACTCCCTGTGGAAATAAAGTCCCTCAGCACTGATCCTCTCCACCACGTATACACGCTTCTGACAGGAGTGACACTTGTCACCAGAACCGGGGAACTCCCTTCGCAAGGAACCCTGGGAAACAGAACAGACAGACAGTGCTACAAACGTTGTCAGCACAGCAAATGATGATAATGGGGGAGTGATGCACTTGTGTCAGATTCCACAATTTTGACCCTAAAAGGCCTTATAGCCGAGTTTGGCCTTTAGTTCACAAAGCATAATGAGTCATAGTCCTGCAAAGAATAATCATCCCAATCCTTATTTTTTTACACAATCTCTCTTCATCTGACTCGGCGACAGGGCCTGGGACATAGTCTATGTTCTTCACCCAGATAAGAGCTGTTGTTCAAGGCTGGTACAGTCTAAGTGGCTGTATGCTCAGCCAGACATGCTTACCGGAGACAGAGGTGGAGAGGCTGGGGGTGAACAGGGGGAGGAGGCTTTAGGCCTGTGGTCAGTCTCATAGAGGGTGACCAGCTTCACAGCCCTGGCTGCTATGGCCAGAGACACCTTCCCCACCGTCCGCTGACAAGCAGCAAGGAGGAAAAGACAGGAGGAAGACAGGGAGGAAGAGAGGAAGACAGGGAGGAAGAGAGGAGAAAGACAGGGAGGAAGACAGGAGGAAGACAGGGAGGAAGAGAGGAGGAAGACAGGGAGGAAGAGAGGGAGGAAGAGAGGAGGAAGAGAGGAGGAAGACAGGGAGGAAGAGAGGAGGAAGACAGGGAGGAAGACAGGGAGGAAGACAGGGAGGAAGACAGGGAGGAAGAGAGGAGGAAGACAGGGAGGAAGAGAGGAGGAAGACAGGGAGGAAGAGAGGAGGAAGACAGGGAGGAAGAGAGGAGGAAGACAGGGAGGAAGAGAGAAAGAGAGTAAGAATAAAGGACAGAATGATGAAAGCAAAAGTGATAGTTCACATCTTAAAGTTAGGATAGATAGATAGATAGATAGATAGATAGATAGATAGATAGATAGATAGATAGATAGATAGATAGATAGATAGATAGATAGATAGATAGATAGATAGATAGATAGATAGATAGATAGATAGATAGATAGATAGATAGATAGATAGATAGATAGATAGATAGATAGATAGATAGATAGATAGATAGATAGATAGATAGATAGATAGATAGATAGAGGAAAGCATTTTATAAACACAAAAGCTGTATTCAAGCTGAGTTGGCATGTGTGTCACAGTGCTTCACTGTGCTTACAGTACAGTACAACACATTCCATCAAATTAATTTTCAAGCAATCACACAGTGATTTGACTACTTTATTCTCTGACTAAGGCAGCTGTTGGGGAAATTAGTCAAGTTATTTCATCAAAATAAGAGGAGTCTCAGCTCAAGCATATGGCCACGGAAGAGGAGGGAAGAGGAGAGGATTTTCAGGAATGTTTTCTCATTATGGTTTGCTAGTGGGCCTGTCTGGATGCTTCAGATTTTACTCTGCACTGACTGCACGGCGCTGGCTCAAACTGATCAGAAATCTGTGGACTGGGAGGGGCATTCTAACCCACAAAGTGCAGCTCCACAAAAATACATTCAACCTTAGCATGAGAGGCCCCAGAGTAGCTAAAAAACATCTCACATGCTTCTTGCATGCAATACCGTTGTGTCTACATATGTCCTTTGTGATTTAGAGGGTAGTACAAGTTACTTTAGCAGGCATGTGGCGCTGGGGGCAAAATACCTGTTTGACGTTATTAAAAACAGGCTCTGGCTTTGGTTGGAGTATTGCAGTGTGTTGTTGTTGGGATACATGTGTGGAGCCACTGCCGTGACACTGAAACAGCAACATGACTGTGATGTTAATAACTACAACTGTAAGTTACATGCAAATTAGATTAGAAGTTAAACAAATATATACTTCTAAAATATATATAATTATCCAGATTACATCATGTTTAAAATCAAACAGACAGCACATCATTTTGGGTTTCTCTGAGAGGCAGCAGGCTCTGCAAATAGAAATTATGTTGCCATAAATAACCTCCCGAGTGGCGCAGTGGTCTAAGGCACTGCATCGCAGTGCTAGCTGTGCCACTAGAGATCCTGGTTTGAATCCAGGCTCTGTCGTAGCCGGCTGCGACCGGGAGACCCATGGGGCAGCGCACAATTGGCCCAGGGTAGTGGAGGGAATGGCCGGCAGGGATGTAGCTCAGTTGGTAGAGCATGGCATTTGCAACGCCAGGGTTGTGGGTTCGATTCCCACGGGGGGGCAGTATAAAAAATAATGTATGCACTCACTAACTGTAAGTCGCTCTGGATAAGAGCGTCTGCTAAATTACTAAAATGTAAATAGTGCCATGGTTTGGAACTCACCACATGTGACTCATTCAAGGGCCTCTCTTTGCATTTCTTTCTTACAAAGCTGCATATCTAGTCCCCCAGATTGACTGGTCTTTGATTTTCCATGAAGAATGAAGGAATTAGAGGAAATATAGAAGAACAGTTAGTTGAATAGTTCAGTGACAGATAAGGGATAGATTAGTGCATCAAAATAATAGTATAATGTTTGCTCTGACATTAGGGGATATGAGTTTCAGCATGACAAAGACAGATGGTGAGAAATGGATGTGCTTGTTTTCACCTTGTGTTGGAGTAGAATGGATGAGGATGAAGAAAAGGTTTGAGGGGCTGAAAAGGTAGAAAGGGTGATTTCTGGACAAAGGAGGGAAGTGACTTTAGGAGTGGGAGCAGGGAGGATGGGAAGAGAGGGAATGGTCTGTTCAGCAGATCCAGACTAGGGTGGGAATGGGAAACAGAGGTTTTGGAATGGAAAGTCAAAGAGGGAGAGGATTGTGAAAAGAGAGATTGTGAGAATCATATAGTTGGCATGCTCAGTTTGATGGGCCTCAAGCCTACAGCACCTGGTATTCCATGGCACTCTACCATCCTGTTGACCAAGCCTCAACCTGCTTAGTCTCAACTCAAGAACACTACATTCCATGTTGACGTCAACTCAGTTGTAGTGCTATAGATTAAAGATGTGAAATATCTCTGCATGATGAATATTGAATGATCACAGAGGTTTTAGCATGACACACAATGATAGGGACACATACGGATGCTGAAACACAGACATGGATGTGGTTATTTTTACCTGATGTTGAAGTAGACAGGAAGAGGAGGATGGAGAATAGGTATGAGGGGGTGAAAATGTAGAAAGGGTGATTTCTGGACAAAGTAGTGATGAAGAGATTTTAGGATTGGGAGCAGGGAGGATGTGAGGAGAGGGAATGGTCTGTCCAGCAGATCCAGACTAGTGTGGGAATGGGAAGTCAAAGAGGAAGAGATATTATGAGCATCAGATGGGAGTTAAATGAGAGTTGGCATGCTCAGTGGGTTGGACGGTAAGACAGACATGGATGTGGTTATTTTTACCTGATGTTGGAGTAGACAGGATGAGGATGAGGATGAGGAATAGGGATGAAGACGTGAGAAGGTAGAAAGGCTGATTTCTGGGTAAAGGTATAATGAGGTGAGTTCTGGACTGGGGTTAGGGAGGATGGGACCAGACTCTGGGGGAATGGCCTGTTCATCAGATTCAGGCTAGGTGAGGAATGGGACAGGGGAGATTTGCAAATGAAAAGAGAGAGAGGATTGTTAAAAGAGAGCTATGAGTGTTAGTAATTAGATAGAAGTTACAATGAGAACTGGCATGCACAGGGTGATAGGCTTTAAGCAAAGGTATTCCGTGGCACTATCCCATCATAGTATTACCTAAGCCCCAACCTGCTGAGCCTCAACACAACAGCTTACCCTGGTTTCCATTGAGACATTTATAAAAGGTGTGCAGTATCTGTCTTGATGATAAAATACCATGGAAATACCCTTTTCCTGTTCTGGAAATTGCAGTATGATGACTACTCTAGCACTAAACACCTTGCTTGATGACTATTTCTCCTGTGAGTAATAAAGCTGCAGTCTCTTCCAGTGAAGCACAGAGAACCCCATTCTACCTTTCAACAGTGTCCATGCTGAAACCCTCTGAGTCTCTGAGCACACAGAGTAAGTGAATTACCAGTGCTGCTCATATATATCATCACAGACAGAGCTGAGAGAGAAGGCTACCTAGTTTTCAGCCTGAGCTCTTTTCTGCAGGTCTGTCTCAGTGGGAATATAGAATCACGTAATGGGACTATTTAACTGAATGATTTCTGCTTAAACAATACATTTTTCACAGGGCGTTACATCGTTTAAAAAAAGCCTTGTTGAAACCCATGATGTAAATTTATTGACTGACTCCCTTAAAACAGTGAAGGTGATTTAAATTACAGATGTAGGATCTTAATTTGATCACTCTTTTGTTGCTGAGAATTTCCTGCACTGCAGCAAATGCAAACTTGTAGCTTATTCAAGGTTTTAAAAGGTTTCTAAAGTTTGTAAATCCCACTTTAAAATGTCAGACTTTATTTGCCCTAACGTAAAATGTATCAACACTTACAAAAAATGTCCATTAATTATAATCCATATAATAATTCACATTTCCTGTTGCTGCAGGGTTATTTTCCTGTTGTAGCAAACTGCCTCAAATTAAGATTCAACATCTGTATAACAGAACACTGTGTCCTACAATAACCTGAAATCACCTGCGCTAGCTGTGTTCTGTTGCTACAGGCTCTGAGCAGCTGATGAAAACATTGCCATAAAAGTCATGCTTCTGGAGATGATGAATGTTGAATATCAACACAGTGAGGGTTATATGAACTGTGTGCAGCAGCAGTGATGCCAAACAAGACCGAGTGTGTGCAACACCACAAACACACTGAGGGATGGGAGAGGTGACGCAGGCAGAAGGGGTCAGAGTTCAGGGGTCAGATAGTCACCTGGGACATAGAGGTCACATCCCCAGAGAACAGTGCTCTCAGGTGGACCGCTTTCTCCTTGATACTTTTATTGTGAAACTCTCTAGCATTCTGGGTTTGAGCCTTCTTCTGCAGGACACATACCATGAGACACAGAGACAAAGAACACGCATCAGAAGGAGAAAGCTGCACCCGCACCACAGTACCACATACTCCCTGTCTGATGAATGGGTCTGAATAGTAACATAATTATTAACTCCCAAATCAGGGTTATAATGTACGGAGAAAAAAAAGTATGAAATGTATGCACTCACTACTGTAAATCACTCTGGATAAGAGCGTCTGCTAAATTACTACAATGTCAAATGTAATGATCAAGCAAGATAAGTGGACTACTTTCCCACTGAAGGAGCTAGATGACACATTGTTTATTGGGTGGAGGGAACAATAGTGTTGCTGTGTGGAGTAGAGTGGCTGTTTTTATAACACTAATTTCACACACCAGCAGAGATGTCTCCACTCTTACACATGTGCTCCTGGAGCAGCAGACTGAGACCAAGGCAGAGACAGACAGACACACAGGCCTGGCACAGAACAAGGCCACAAGGGGCAGCCCACTGGCTAAACTTGCTAGTCAGCAGCCTCTGTGCCTCTTTGTCTCTGCCAGGGTTGTGGGTCTGTTCTTGCCATTGTGGTCAGTGTGGATGATTAGGGTTTGACTTCACCAGCTGACTATGTGCTATACAATGCTAAATGTATAATCATGATGATTATCTCAACATTCATATTCAGCCTTTTCCTACCAGGATGTCTTATATGGTCACACAGTAGGAGACAATAACAATAGAAAAAGACAGAGCAGACAAAGAGAAAGAGAAACGGACAGATAGAGAAGAAAAGAGAGGAAATGAGAGGTGAGGAAAGGAGAGGAAATGAGAGGAAAGGAGAGGAGAGGAAAGGAGAGGAAAGGAGAGGGGAGGGGAGGAGAGGAAAGGAGAGGGGAATAGGTCACCTGGGTGATCTTTTCCTCCACCTCCTGAAGGCGTTGGAGCATTCTAGACATGGCTAGGACTGCTGAGTGGCAGGAGGGAGAGTAGCCAGGGTAGTGTGTGCTCTCTGGCTGCTGGGGCTGCGACTGGGGTTGAGCACGTGTCTGATCAGCCTGTCTGACCTTCCTGAGGGTGTGATTTGGGCTGGGTGGGGGTGGGAGCTTAGGTTGGAGCTGGAACTGGGGTTGGGGCTGGTGCTGAGACTGAAGCTGGGCTTGGAGCTGGGGCGAGAGCTTGGGTTTGGGAGGAGGCTGGGGTGGGGGCTGAGCGGTTGCACTCAGCTACATATTTGGTACAGGTTGCAGACTGAAACTGGAAACACACAGCACATGTGAGCTGCAGGTCTATGGCTCTCCGTCAACTCAGGGTGAGCTTGATGAAAAAACAAGAAGCAATTGCAGCAACCAGGCTCCAGTAGTTTAACAGCTGGAGAGAATAGGAGTGAGATTTACGCCCCATGCTTTTCTTGGTCTTGTGAATCTACTTCACTGGGGGGTTACTTTTCATTTCCAACCCACAGGGAGCATTAAACACTCACTCCAGGTAAGTGATGACTGGTTTGTGAGTGAGTGAGTGAGTGAGTAAGTGTATACCAAAATTGAGTGACAGTGTGTGTTCTGCAGAGTGTATTGGTGTGGGTATGTGTATGTAGACCAGGCCTGCTCCAGTCCTCTACCTGTGTCTTAGGGGGAGGGTTGGGTGGGGTCTGCTGCCTGAGGTTGGTGAAGCGTGGGGTCTCAGTCATGTCCATGGAGCGTGGCCGAGGGGCCCTCCCAGAACCCCAATCACACTGAGACTGATGAGGTTTGTCAGCCAGAAACAAAGCCCAAGGAAAAGGGTTAGTAGAAAGACAGAAAAGGAAGAAAAGAGGGAAAGTGACTTGCAAGATAAGATAAGTATATCACCACACGGATTTATAACCAAGTCTTAATCAGAAAATGTACAGCACAAAACCAAACCTGGCTCTTTCCCTTGGATCACAATGGATCACCTCTGTTCTATAGCACACTGTGGTATAAGACATCTGAGTACAAACATACCATCCTACAGTACTGTATAATCTATGGAGGACACTATCCAACACTGACAGAGTCCTGAGGAGGGGGAATGAGGGACATATCTTGGTGGTTCTGACCTGTCTCCGGAGGGTGAAGCTGGGGGTGCTCTCCTCAAACTTGGACAGAAGCTGGGTGGCCATGGAGCGGACCTTGTTGTCCTTCACCTCCCTCCCCTCACCCACACAGGACGCACTCTGACGAGAGACGTTGGTTGCCTGTCATGAGAAATAGTGAGTTGAGTTATCAGGGCCAAAATAAATGGTTTTCTGACATATTTGACGTTGGTGCACTTAGAATGTCATTATGAAATTGTAGTTTGATGGTAATAAATACCTCTTCCAAATAACTGCAGACTTTTCGTCTCCTTTTGTATGTTGGGTCAGTATCTTCTAGCTTCTTCTCATCCTAAAAGAAAAAAAAAAACAAGCCATAGTATATGACTAAATATTTCAGACAGCACTCAAAGGTACAAAGATTCAACCTGAAAGTGAACTATTAAAGGAGAGCCCATCTAAAAAAAAATCTAGAAGAATGATCTGTCTGTATACATGTATCTTGTGGAAGTCCCCAATACAGTCTACTTATTCAAATGAAATGACTTTTGAAATGATAACACAAAGAGGCTGAGAGGCTCTCAAGTTGCAGTCGTTCTCAAGGCAGGCGGAGAGAGGAGGCTGGAGAGAGGAGGCTGGAGAGAGGAGGCTGGAGAGAGGAGTGTGATTACCTTTGGTACCCTTTTTCTTGGTACCAAGTTCAGAACTTTGTTCATACTTCTGACTGCCTTTGAAGGATAGTCTTCACTGTTTTCGTCGGCCCCTCTAGAATCTGCAATGAAACACATGAGTGCATTAAAAGGTATGATATTTTCCACGGAGCTCAGCCATGAATGCCAAATAAAAGCAATGGCCAATGTGTTTTTACATTATGTCTAAAAGAAACCTAATATTACTGTGTTGGAAAGAACCAGATGGGGCCAGACCATCTGTTTTTCCTGAGAAAAGCAACCTAACAAATAAAGAGCTTTTTTGTGGAAACCAATACTGGAAACACTTCACTTCACTACAGATCATAAGAATGTATACAATTATTGCAAAATAATACATCATCATTCCGTAATGTGGGCAACCAGCATTGCTGTGGATAGAGGCATATCATGTGACCTCTCAGAGGCCATAAAGCTAGTACAACTGATGTCCCTGTGGCAATAATATGCTCTGTTCCCCTTAGGCATCTCAGAACAGAAACTATCTGGAGTAAGGTATAGTGTTTTCTCTCCAGGTCAGCCTAGACCCAGACACTATCTGTGAGGTAGTCTGCACTGTGATGGGCAGATGTGCATTCCTCTCATGCCAGACAAAAGGACTGATAGGGTTGTGCAACACAGACCTGCTTTCAAAGGAAGCCAGATGAAATCTCATACCCTCTTATACACCAGCTAAAGTGTCTCTAGAAAGACATAAGGGATGAAATACATTAAGGACAGAGACAGCTTGATATGTAAAGAAATGGCCCTGGTCAAAAACAATACAGTGAGAGGCTGGGCTTTTATTACAGTGGACACAGTGGAGTGGTAGGGCCCTTTGAGGGTGACAGTGATGAGGTGTTAAAGTATCAAGTTTCAGTTTTTTTATTAGTCATACACTACCAGTCATTCAAGGGTTTTTTCTTTATTTTTACTATTTTTTACATTGTAGAATAATAGTGAAGACATCAAAACTATGAAATATCACATATGGAATCATGTAGTAACCAAAAAAGTGTTAAACAAATCAAAATATATTTTATATTTGAGATTCTTCAAATAGCCACCCTTTGCCTTGATGACAGCTTTGCACACTCTTGGCATTCTCTCAACTAGCTTCATGAGGTAGTCACCTGGAATGCATTTCAATTAACAGGTTGGCCTTCTTAAAAGTTAATTTGTGGAATTTATTTCCTTCTTAATGTGTTTGAGCCAATCAGTTGTGTTGTGTTGAGACAAGGTATACAGAAGATAACCCTATTTGGTAAAAGACCAAGTCCATATTATGGCAAGAACAGCTCAAATAAGCAAAGAGAAACGACAGTCCATCATTACTTTAAGACATGAAGGTCAGTCAATACGGAACATTTCAAGAACTTTGAACGTTTCTTCAAGTGCAGTCACAAAAACCATCAAGCGCTATGATGAAACTGGCTCCCATGAGGACCGCCACAGGAATGGAAGACCCAGAGTTACCTCTGCTGCAGAGGATAAGTTCATTAGAGTTACCAGCCTCAGAAATTGCAGCCCAAATAAATGCTTCACAGAGTTCAAGTCACAGACACATCTCAATATCAACTGTTCAGAGGGGACTGTGCAAATCAGTCCTTCATGGTCGAATTGCTGCAAAGAAACCACTACTAAAGGATACCAATAAGAAGAAGAGACCTGCTTGGGCCAAGAAACACGAGCAATGGACATTAGACTGGTGGAAATATGTCCTTTGGTCTGGAGTCCAAATTGGAGATTTGTGAGACGCGGTGTGGGTGAACGGATGATCTCCGCATGTGTAGTTCCCACCGTAAAGCATGGAGGAGGAGGTGTTATGGTGTTGGGGTTCTTTGCTGGTGACACTGTCTGGGATTTATTTAGAATTCAAGTCACACTTAACCAGCATGGCTACCACAGCATTCTGCAGCGATACGCCTCCCATCTGGTTTGGGCTTAGTGAGATTATCATTTGTTTTTCAACAGGACAATGACCCAACACACCTCCAGGCTGTGTAAGGGCTATTTTACCAAGAAGGAGAGTGATGTAGTGCTGCATCAGATGACCTGGCCTCCACAATCCCCCGACCTCAACCCAATTGAGATGGTTTGGGATGAGTCGGACGGCAGAGTGAAGGAAAAGCAGCGAACAAGTGCACAGCATATGTGGGAACTCCTTCAAGACTGTTGGAAAAGCATTCCAGGTGAAGCTGGTTGAGAGAGAATGCCAAGAGTGTGCAAAGCTGTCATCAAGGCAAAGGGTGGCTACTTTGAAGAATATAATAATAATAAGCCATTTAGCAGACGCTTTTATCCAAAGCAACTTACAGTCATGCGTGCATACATTTTTACGTATGGGTGGTCCCCGGGGATCGAACCCACTACCCTGGCGTTACAAGCGCCATGCTCTACCAATTGAGCTACGAATCTCAAATATAAAATATATTTTGATTTGTTGAACACTTTTTTGGTTACTACATGATTCCATATGTGTTATTTTGTAGTTTTGATGTCTTCACTATTATTCTACAATGTCGAAAATAGTAAAAATAAAGAAAAACCCTTGAATGAGTAGGTGTCCAAACTTTTGACTGGTACTGTACTTACTAACACATTGTATACACAGTCCAACTAAATGCTTACTTGCAGGTTCCTTCTCGACAATGCAACAACAATAAGAACTAATAAAAGATAAGAATAACAACACAAAGTAAATGGCTCAGTAGAATATAATTTTTTTTTTGCATATAATACAGGAAGGCACAATTTCATATTTACATGTGTTGGGGGGATTGGGGGGCTGTAAATTGGCTTTTAAATTATGCAGTATTTAGCAATAATAATACGAGTCTGGTAGCAGCCGTTGTGATGCGTGTGTGTCATGAATGTGTGTGTGTGTGTCTACAGGGGGTACATACACCTGCCCATGGCCGGTGCAGTAGGACCGTATTCCTCTCTGCCCTGTCTGCTCCTCCTATTGAAGTGTTCAGAGCCAAATGCTTCAGCTGCATTTAAAAATAACTCTGACATGGGAAGGAGCCTTTTAAAAAAGGCCTAATGATATAAAGGGCTGCTACTTCAATCAGACTACATAGAAAAATATGGGATCGTTTTGTGTGTGTGTGTGTGTGTGTAGGAGTGCATATCTGTGTGGGTGTATGCGTGAGTGAAATCTGAAGTCTGGGGCTTCAGGACACACGTGTCTGCAGGGGGGTGGGGTGAGGGGTGTGAGGCGTACCTGAGACGGGAAGGGGGGTGCCGCGGAACAGCTCGTAGAACTTGGAGAGGTAGGTGACCATTCTGGTCTTGTCTGGTTCCTGACCAGCAGCCATCTCCTCTCCAGTGGTGAAGGGCCGCATCCCAAACTCCCGCTCAGCCAGGTCAAAAGCCAGCTGGAGGTTATTAGCTGAATCCTCCTCGTTCAGCGCATCAAACTCTCTGAGGGAAACAGATTGAAATGATATCACGCGATGTTGTTGTAATGTTGTGTGGGTAACTAGGTGAAGGCTTTATAAGACTAAGCTGGTGTCAACACAGAAGTTATGAAACAGTTCTAGACTTGCAGTGTAGCCCTCACTTCACCACAAAGATGATGACAGAAATAACAAACTGCCCTAGATACGGAGTGTGACATGTAATACATAGTTATGCTTTCCAAACTCCCTTTCACATACTATAGGGTTTCTCTAAAAGCGGTTGTCTCTTCTGTGTGCTCTGTTTCGTCACACCTATCAGTAACAGAGAGAGAGAGAGCGCACTGACATCAGGAAAAAGGCTCTTTGAGGAAGGTCAAATGTTATTCACAACCACCACTTACATTTCCTCTCACACAAAGACGGTCTGTGAGGGAGAGGCAGGGGCTTGTGTGTAGATAGTGCACCAGGACATACATTGACATGAATGGGTTACTTTCATGCCTGGCATAGTTTACATTAGACACCCACAGAAGGAGGCATTATGATTACAGCGTGGGTGTAAGATGTTCTGCTATTACCGGTGTCTTGATGTAAATGTTATGTGTGTAGAAATTCACCATTATAGAATATACCATAGGGCATTTTATGAGGAGCCAGTCTATCAATTTACAATGACAAAGTGCTACATGCCAGGGTGTGACATGAAGAAGTCTCACACATGGTTTATGAGGACAAAAGAGAGTGAGTGCTGAGGTCATTTACAGTGACAGTAGGGTACATCAGGCCAGTCTTACTGTGGTGGTTTACAGGGTAGTTGTATGCTGCAGTGTTTTACGGTACATACATGAGGTGGGATCTGAACCGGTGGATGAGGGCACAGAGAGCCAGGCCGCTCTGCCAGGAGGTGGTCAGGTCTGTCACGCTCACATTCCTGTAGCCCTCGGTCTGTTTCTGACACCACGTCAGCAGCCTGCCCGGCCTGATCTCCGACTCTACACACACACACAGGAACAAGGTGTTCAGTAGGGAGAAAATGGCATGAAACTGGGAGGCACTACCTAAATTGGTCCAATAAGAAGAACATAGATTTTTCCATTGCCCTATTTTCCATTTGTGTGACTGTCCTTGCCTATCAGTGTTTTGTTACTTGTTATGTGTTTTGTTTTTGTGGACCCCAGGGAAGAGTAGCTGATGCTTCTGCAAAAGCTCAGGGGGATCCTAATAAACAAATAAATAAATAAATAAAATACTAAACACAACCCAGCTAACAGCCACCCACTCACCCAGCAACACAACCACAGAGCTAACAGGAAGTGAGATCATAGATGTGGAACAGTGACAGCAGGTGACGTTAATGAGAGGTAAGACTGATAAGACGTAAGTTAGAATAGGGGCTGAAGTATGCATATGTGTCACACCCTGGCTCTGGGACTCTATATGTTGAGCCAGGGTGTGTTCATTCTATGTGTTCTGTTTCTTTGTTGGGTGTTCTAGGTTGGTTGTTTCTATGTTTGACTGAATGACTCCCAATCAGAGGCAACGAGTGTCAGCTGTGTGCTGGTTGTCTCTGATTGGGAGCCATATTTAACTGTCTGTGTTTCACTTTGTGTTTGTGGGTTTTTGTTCCGTGTTCGGTCTTTGTCACTGAGGACTTCACGAGTCGTTTATTGTTTTGTTATTTCGTGTGTATGCTTTAATTAAATAAAGCAAGTATGTTCGCAACGAACGCTGCGCTTTGGTCCACTCCTTCATACAACGTTCGTGACAGAAAAACCCACCATAAAAGGACCAAGCAGCGTGTCCAGGAGCAGGCAGACTGGACATGGGAGGAAGCGCCAGGAAAGGAGATGGAGAGGCTGGCGATGGCCCAGGTGGGCAAATCGTGGTCCTGGGAGGACATGCTCGGGGGCAAGGGACCTTGGGGTAGGATTAAGGCCCTGGCGAGAGAGGAGCAGCGGCGTCAGCAGTGCCATCGTCGGACGGACGAGAGGCACCCCCAATAATATTTTAGGGGGGGGCACACGGCATGGGTGACTGGGCAGCAGGAGGCTGCCACAGGGCGAAATGGGAGACGAGGAGAGAAGGCCACCGGGTTACGGGAGCCATTGGCGAGAGGAGGGAAGGAAGTTGTAGAGGCACGGCGAGAGGTACTGAGGTGTATTGCCAGTCCGGTCCGGCCCGTTCCTGATCCCCGTTTAAGGCCAGTGGTGTGTGTTCCCAGTACGGTCCGGCCTGTTCCTGCTCCACGCACCAAGCCTACGGTGTGCTTCGCCAGCCCTGTCCGGCCTGTCCCTGCTCCACGCACCAAGCCTACGGTGTGCGTCGACAGCCCAGCCCGGCCTGTTCCTGCTCCACGCACCAAGCCTACGGTGTGCGTCGACAGCCCAGCCCGGCCTGTTCCTGCTCCACGCACCAAGCCTACGGTGTGCGTCGCCAGCCCAGTCCGGCCTGTCCCTGCTCCACGCAACAAGCCTACGGTGTGCATCGACAGCCCAGCCCGGCCTGTCCCTGCTCCACGCACCAAGCCTACGGTGTGCGTCGCCAGCCCAGCCCGGCCTGTCCCTGCTCCACGCACCAAGCCTACGGTGTGCGTCGCCAGCCCAGGCCCGGCCTGTCCCTGCTCCACGCACCAAGCCTACGGTGCGCGTCGCCAGCCCGGCCTGTTCCTGCCACTCGCACCAAGTCAGGGGTGCGAGTCGTCAGCCTGGTCCAGCCCGTTCCTGCCACTCGCACCAAGCCAGGGGTGCGAGTCGTCAGCCTGGTCCAGCCCGTTCCTGCTACTCGCACCAAGCCAGGGGTGCGAGTCGTCAGCCTGGCAAGGCCCGTTGCTGCTCCACGCACCAAGCTAGGGGTGCGCATCGACAGCCAGGTCTGGTCCTTTCCTGCCTCACGCACCAAGCCTGGTGTGCGCGTCGTCAGTCCGGCACAACCCGTGCCTGGGTCATCGGTGCCAGATCAGGTACCGCTTTATTGCTCCCCAACGGAGCTGAAGCTAGCCGCTCCTGCTACGTCCAGGTCAGCTCCAGCCAGCGGAGCCAGACTGGACCAGGGGCGCTATGGGGGGTTCATTGGAGGGTGGTGGTCAAGGCCGGAGGCAGAACCGCCGCCGAGGAGGTATTCCCGCCCAGCCCTCCCCTGTTTTGCTTTAGTTGAGGCGCGGTCGCAGTCCGCGCCTTTAGGGGGGGGGTACTGTCACACCCTGGCTCTGGGACTCTATATGTTGAGCCAGGGTGTGTTCATTCTATGTGTTCTGTTTCTTTGTTGGGTGTTCTAGGTTGGTTGTTTCTATGTTTGACTGAATGACTCCCAATCAGAGGCAACGAGTGTCAGCTGTGTGCTGGTTGTCTCTGATTGGGAGCCATATTTAACTGTCTGTGTTTCACTTTGTGTTTGTGGGTTTTTGTTCCGTGTTCGGTCTTTGTCACTGAGGACTTCACGAGTCGTTTATTGTTTTGTTATTTCGTGTGTATGCTTTAATTAAATAAAGCAAGTATGTTCGCAACGAACGCTGCGCTTTGGTCCACTCCTTCATACAACGTTCGTGACAGAAAAACCCACCATAAAAGGACCAAGCAGCGTGTCCAGGAGCAGGCAGACTGGACATGGGAGGAAGCGCCAGGAAAGGAGATGGAGAGGCTGGCGATGGCCCAGGTGGGCAAATCGTGGTCCTGGGAGGACATGCTCGGGGGCAAGGGACCTTGGGGTAGGATTAAGGCCCTGGCGAGAGAGGAGCAGCGGCGTCAGCAGTGCCATCGTCGGACGGACGAGAGGCACCCCCAATAATTTTTTAGGGGGGGGCACACGGCATGGGTGACTGGGCAGCAGGAGGCTGCCACAGGGCGAAATGGGAGACGAGGAGAGAAGGCCACCGGGTTACGGGAGCCATTGGCGAGAGGAGGGAAGGAAGTTGTAGAGGCACGGCGAGAGGTACTGAGGTGTATTGCCAGTCCGGTCCGGCCCGTTCCTGATCCCCGTTTAAGGCCAGTGGTGTGTGTTCCCAGTACGGTCCGGCCTGTTCCTGCTCCACGCACCAAGCCTACGGTGTGCTTCGCCAGCCCTGTCCGGCCTGTCCCTGCTCCACGCACCAAGCCTACGGTGTGCGTCGACAGCCCAGCCCGGCCTGTTCCTGCTCCACGCACCAAGCCTACGGTGTGCGTCGACAGCCCAGCCCGGCCTGTTCCTGCTCCACGCACCAAGCCTACGGTGTGCGTCGCCAGCCCAGTCCGGCCTGTCCCTGCTCCACGCAACAAGCCTACGGTGTGCATCGACAGCCCAGCCCGGCCTGTCCCTGCTCCACGCACCAAGCCTACGGTGTGCGTCGCCAGCCCAGCCCGGCCTGTCCCTGCTCCACGCACCAAGCCTACGGTGTGCGTCGCCAGCCCAGCCCGGCCTGTCCCTGCTCCACGCACCAAGCCTACGGTGCGCGTCGCCAGCCCGGCCTGTTCCTGCCACTCGCACCAAGTCAGGGGTGCGAGTCGTCAGCCTGGTCCAGCCCGTTCCTGCCACTCGCACCAAGCCAGGGGTGCGAGTCGTCAGCCTGGTCCAGCCCGTTCCTGCTACTCGCACCAAGCCAGGGGTGCGAGTCGTCAGCCTGGCAAGGCCCGTTGCTGCTCCACGCACCAAGCTAGGGGTGCGCATCGACAGCCAGGTCTGGTCCTTTCCTGCCTCACGCACCAAGCCTGGTGTGCGCGTCGTCAGTCCGGCACAACCCGTGCCTGGGTCATCGGTGCCAGATCAGGTACCGCTTTATTGCTCCCCAACGGAGCTGAAGCTAGCCGCTCCTGCTACGTCCAGGTCAGCTCCAGCCAGCGGAGCCAGACTGGACCAGGGGCGCTATGGGGGGTTCATTGGAGGGTGGTGGTCAAGGCCGGAGGCAGAACCGCCGCCGAGGAGGTATTCCCGCCCAGCCCTCCCCTGTTTTGCTTTAGTTGAGGCGCGGTCGCAGTCCGCGCCTTTAGGGGGGGGGTACTGTCACACCCTGGCTCTGGGACTCTATATGTTGAGCCAGGGTGTGTTCATTCTATGTGTTCTGTTTCTTTGTTGGGTGTTCTAGGTTGGTTGTTTCTATGTTTGACTGAATGACTCCCAATCAGAGGCAACGAGTGTCAGCTGTGTGCTGGTTGTCTCTGATTGGGAGCCATATTTAACTGTCTGTGTTTCACTTTGTGTTTGTGGGTTTTTGTTCCGTGTTCGGTCTTTGTCACTGAGGACTTCACGAGTCGTTTATTGTTTTGTTATTTCGTGTGTATGCTTTAATTAAATAAAGCAAGTATGTTCGCAACGAACGCTGCGCTTTGGTCCACTCCTTCATACGACGTTCGTGACAATATGACTCTGTCAAGACATGTTGAACCTGTCTGTCATATGTGTAATAGGACCCATGGTTGTATAACATAGTGTTTACTGCAGTATGTAGAGGCCAGGGTGTGCTTAAAGATATACAGTATACATGGAAAAAAACATTTTCCGATGATGGAGACAAAAATCACATAAGATTAAAATGAGGTCATATTTCTAACTTTCAGTTCTCCTTGAATAACTGCTTGAAACTTTCCAGTATTAATGTTGAACAAAAAATATATTGAAACGTAACCAGCTAGACTTTGTTTGGTCTGGTATCTGAAAACATCCTAAAGATATTACTGCTGCGTTTAACTACTAGTGAATCAAGTCATGTTTTTCCTTTTACCAATACACAGAACCACCAGCTTTGGCCTCCAATAAAATTACGAATGTAGTCATTTTGTCTTCCTTAAACGCAGTGTCATTTTGAAGATAAGTACATTATGTACAGTAGAGTGGGTGTGGGGGGGGTCTGTATGCTATATGACCCCGTCCACAGTCAAGAGGCTTCCACTTCACCAAAGCTCCGCTCTCACCATGGACCGTTTCAAAAACAAACCTCAGACGGAGACTTATTCCCTAAGCAGAGATTAACGCTGGCCCTCCCTCAGTCTGCCACAGCGAGAGAAAAGGTCTGCCTCACTTAAACACTGCTGTGTGCCTGTGTCGCTGCTCTCAGAACACTCCCAGAACACAGGGAATGGGAGATAACTTACAGTTTTTCTCCATTGGTTTGGCTCATTTCTTGAAACAGAAATTACATTCTCAAAACTCTAAGATCATTTGGCAAAACAGTCTTACAGTTCAGCACAACACTATAGCTCACTTGCAAAAGCTCATATCTCTCCTAAAACTGTTCACTCATGCTTCAAAACTAAATTCCTTTCCCATATAAGGAGTCAGTGCCACGGAAATGGCAAAGATCCTTCTCAATTGCTTTGGCTCATTTCTTGAAACAGACCGGACGTTCTCAACACTCTTGGTGCTTTAGCCAAAATAACGTGGATGGTTCGGCACAACACCATGGTTCACCTGCAAAAGCTCATACCTCTCCCAAAACAGTTCACGCATGTGTCAAAACTAAATTTCCTTCTCATTTAAACAGTCAGTGCCCCCAAAATGCTTCGTCCCTTTGGCATTGTGTAAGCACTGCAAGTCAAAATGTTTAGATGTTTTGTCACTATGGCAGAGGACCATTGAAATATCCCTCATGTCCACCTTTCAGTCTTAGCCCAGTCCTTCATTGACAATGGTTACTGTACTGTTTTTTGTCTAGCTAACAGAATACAATTGTGTATAAAACTGAAAAAAATAAATAGGATTTTAGGGTAAGAGTAGCCTCCAAGGTTTGACATCACACATTGCACTCATACTGCCAAGGAAATTGTAACCATTATCATTCACACACATAAAGTAACTTCCATACATCAGAGTAAAAAGAAAATGTATACAGCATAATATACTGTAATATAAACACACAAACAAAAAACAATGAAAATGATATGCAGCCTACAGTGCTGTAAATAAAGCTGGAGTTTCACAACTAACAGTTCTTCACTGGTCGCTGTCCTCACCCTCCTGGCCATCCACACGCTGCTGTCTGTCTGGCCACAGATTCTCGTCCACATCACAGCGTATATTCTCCCTTGCGATGCAACGAGGGAAGAAACGGCGTGCATGTCGCAACCATCCCCTACACTGATCTGCTGTAATAAATGTATCAAATGTTCCAAGGGATTCATATATGGTATTCATGGTATTATGTTCTTGACTAATTTTGACAATTGAACAGACTATTGTGCATGTGATGACTTATACAATGAAATGACGCTGACACGTTTTGGAGCGAACAACCATTAGACTGAGAATCAACAATCAGTTTAGATCAACAAGATCTATTCACTTGGAAATTGTGCTAAATGTAGGCTACCTGTACTTAATCATTTGCAAAGATGTACTGAGACATTGAGACATGTACTTAGACATTTGCAATTTGATGAAATGAATGACAAATTCAATTCTGTTGTGAACAATTGCCAAGTGGTTTGGAGGTTTGTTCATGTAGTTTTGAGAATGTAATTTCTGTTTCAAGAAATGAGCCAAACCAATGGAGAAAAACTGTAATAGAACTAGAGTGGAATGGCTGATCTTCTCCTACCTTTGGGTAAATAGCCACTGAATGAATGAGTGCTGCAGATATTTGGGCCCATGAAACACAAGGGACTCATCTGTCATCATTTTCAAATGAGTTACTTGAACCAGTTGAGTCGACGTCACAGCATGTTCTGTAGGTTGGAGCCATGCACTGGATCAGAGGTAAATCCATACTAGACTGTACTAAAGCCTCCCAACTCCACAGTCTCTCTGGCCTCTCCTGTATTGTGTGTGGCTCACCTCGTCTGGCCAGGTTCACAGGGCGACGTATTGTAGCATTACGCTCCAGAGAGCACGACTTCACTGGCAGCTCTCCATTGATGTAGAGGTGACGCACCTGGAAGAAATAAGAATGAGACAGAGATGAGATACAGGCAGAAGAAGAGATAAGAAGACAAGCACAGTCCATCCTTGAAATCTTGTGTTAATGTTAAGGGTGAATCTGATATTGGTGACAGCAGAAAGTGAATACTGCAGTAAACAATGTGATCCTTGAGAAAGGCCTTCTTACCTGGTTTTGCCTGACACAGGTGGAAATGAGGTTGGGATACCGAGTCCCAGGGTCAATGGTGTACTGCTCAAAGTTTTTGGCAATGTTTTCAGTGGTTGTCTGCGGCAGGATTCTGTAAAGACTCTCCCTGGAGAAATATATATATTTAGTGTGTGTGTGTATGTGTGTGTGTGTGTGTGTGTGTGTGTGTGTGTGTGTGTACAATATGTGTGCTGACCACTGACCTCTCAGCTAGCACCTCCAGAGGGGTCCTGCCCTCAGCCCACCTTTTCACCATCCAGGCTGAGTCAAAGGCAGCCAGGAAGCCTCTCGCACACCCTGTACCCATGGGCCAGAACGGCTGTACACACAGACACATACCATCAGCATAACAGTACATTTAGCGGAATATGCACATGTAGTATTATAGTCCAACCATTTTAAAGCATGATTAAACACTGTTGTCACAGCCTCCTCACCTCTAACAAGCTGTCCCCAACCAGTGCCACCAGTAGCTGGTGTCCGAAGCGTTCTCTGACCAGCGCTGCGTTCTCCGAGGCGTACATGCTGGTGAAGTCAAACATGGCCACGTCCGGCTGGCCACAAGCATTTATGGCAAAGTCCAGCGTGGGAAGCTGGTAGTTGGTGCCAAAGTCAGCAGCTTCCCGGGCGTAACACAGCAGAGCTTCCTGGTTCACATTCTCACTGCTCAGCAGCATCTCTGTGTCTATGTAGTCCTACGAGACAAAGTCAGGGGAATTGTGTTTTTGAGAGACCATAACCAAAAAGATGAAGCAAAGAGGCAAAATCAGATGCAACATTGATACCCTAAGCGTAATAACAGTTATTCACCTTGTATATACAGTAAGAGGACCATTAAAGATGCTCTTTAAATTGTACTGTGACGCCACTCTCAAAGTCCCACATTATCTTTATGAATGAATTCATAGGATGACTCATGCAGAACCCTGGCAATTGAGGTGAGAGAGAGCGCTGAGAGGGAGTCATTAGCCAGAGAAATATTGTGTTCCTTTAGGGATGTTTATAACACTTAGCTTTCATGGATGTCATTGTGGTGCCCGCCCAGCTCGTTGGCTGTTCACCTGGCAGACAACCAAGGATGAGATTCCTCCAACCCAGCACACTCCTCTATTAACTCCCCACCTCTCCTTCTCTCTCCCCCTCTCTCTGTCTTTCTCTTCCTCTCTCTCACATACACATATGAATACACATCTGAATGCACATCTAAATACACATCTGAATACAACACCCTCAGACATCAAGAAAAAATCAGCCCGCAGCTGAATCTAGTTGATGATCCCTGATCTAAACAATGTTTGCTTACATGAATGATGACCCCCTTGTCCAGTAGGCTCTGCTTCTTTGCTGTCATGACAAAGTAGTGCGTGTTGTCCTTGTAGTATACAATGTTCTCCAGGTCAATACCTGCAACAAATGACAGACACAGACAGGAAGGTTAAAAAAAAAACATGATAATGACAGGGTTGAAAATTGCTGTTGTTTGACAATGTGTGGATTTAAGTGCATTCTGAGGGCAGTCTGCTCCTCTGGCTGACTCATTGACTGTGGGGGATCTCAGGCCCACCTGTCTCCTCTTTGAGGTCCAGGAAGAACTTCTGGTTAAAGATGAAGGCCACACCGCTGATCTCCTCCACCTTAGCCTCGGCCGTGGTGTTCCTGTTGACAAAGTTGGCCGTGATGGCGATTGCCAGCTTACCACGGAATTCCTTCCTCTTGAACCCTGAGAGAGAGAGAGAGAAGAGAGAGAGAGAGAGAGAGAGAGAGAGAGAGAGAGAGAGAGAGATGGCAAATGTATGACCACATTAGAGACACATATTTCCCACAGATCACACAGACCCACAATGAACTTGAAAACAGATTAAACATTGATAAACGCCCATACCAGTTAGGCGAAATACCACAGTGTTCAATCACAGCAGCAAGATTTGTGGCCCATTGCCATGAGAATAGGGCAACCAGTGGAGCACAAACAACAATGTAAATGCAACCTATATTTATCTGTTTACATGCTTCAACTATTTGCACATTGTTACAACACTGTACATAGCCAATAATATAACATTTGAAATGTCTATATTCTTTTAAAACTTTTGCGAGAGTAATGCATACTGATTGTTTATTTCCCTTTTGTTTATTGTCTATTCCATTTGCTTTGGCAATGTAAACATATGTTTCCCATGCCAATAAAGCCCTTTGAATTGAATTGAATTGAATTGAGAGAGAGAGAGCGAGAGAGCGAGAGAGAGAGAGAGAGAGAGAGAGAGAGAGAGAGAGAGAGAGAGAGAGAGAGAGAGAGAGAGAGAGAGAGAGAGAGAGAGAGAGAGAGAGAGATTACTATTCTCTGGCCAGGCCAGCGGAGGCATACTAATCCAGAGGAAATCTAGCACTGAGCTGTAATCACAGGCCAGTTATTTTAGGATCAGAGAGACTCGTTACCGAGGTGATGCTGTTTATATCACCAGTGGAACACAAGCCTCGGCGGGAGAGTTGGGTCAGTACTAAAATGTTATGATCTAATAAAAATGTCTTCCATGTTGATTAACTTTCACAACTTCAGTGCAAATGCAGCCACTCCTTACATGAACTGCACTATTGTAAGAGAAGGTGCTATCTCGTTTTTCACACTGAGATTTTACGATATATACTGTTATTGGCTGCAATTGCTTACACTTCTGCTATTTAGGATATCAACAAGAATGGAACAGAATCAGTTCCTCTTCAGATAGAAACATTGGGGAAATACTTTTGGCATTGAAGAGTTTATTGCCATCCTCTCACCGACCCTGCAAAGTTTTTTTTTTTTTATGTAGACATTGCAAAAATATCACAATTTTAGAGGCTAGTTTAATATTAACTTTCTGTGTCCCATCCAGGCCCAAGCATAACTGCAGGCAAGCCTTAAAATAGACTGAAGTATGGACTCAGACTTTTAATGCCAGACTGACATTCACTTGGGTTCCTGTTGCTAATATTCTCACAATTACAGTTTTATGAAAAGCTGTCTGACTTTTTAAATGACATTCTCACAATTACGGTTTTATGAAAAGCTGTCTGACTTTTGTGAACGAGAATATGGTGATATTATTTTGACAAGTCTCTTTGTGGTGTCAAAGCTTCACCAAAGCGCCTAAAGCCTGTAAAAGCCATCCAACCACAGCTAGTACCCGGGCTATGTCACTCCAAGCTGTTAAGTCCCACAGGCCAGATGTTAATATGCTTACAATTGTCCTAGGGGATGAGGAAGGCTCTGCACCAAAGCCCTTTAGTGAAAGAAAATACATCCTCAATACCTCTAGACCTGTGACTCAGGAAGGAAAGGAGGATGAATGTTCTAATGTGTTCAGCCTCTCTTCCTCCTACAAAATAATGTATGAGATTCTGAGAGGTGCTTTTCTAGGAGGAGGTAGCATTTGAATATGAGCCAGAAATGTTCCATTACTGTCACTGCTAATTCACTGGGTCACCCGCCTGCCCCTGTCCCCCCTCCCCTCACATCACTCTTTCCAATGCAGCTGTGTTCCTCTCAGACGATTAGCTGGGTACAGAACAGATTGGGGTATATTTAACCCTCCCCTCAGACAGGGATCTGCATGGCAGTCCAAAAGCAGAATGACTTCTAAAAAGAAAGTTTTCCTCCGGCCTTTCGTCATCAGACGATGACCTAAACGCCTCATTGTTTGGAGACAGAAAATGCCCTTTTAAGGAATAAGCATCTGATGTGGATTGGTGAGGAGATGACAGGCATCTGTGAGGGCGAGTCCAACATGCATGCATCAACTGTTGAACAGCATCCAGATGACTACACACACAGGGCCCCAGATCTTTTTTATTAAGGTACAGAGCTATGGTGATTTCATGTGTAACCTTGCCCTTTGAAGGAGAGATTAATGACATCACATAGGGTATCGTTTTACAGAGGCGAGCTTGATTTTATGGCGTCCTAACTTTCTTGGATGAGACTATGCTTTTTTAAATGGATGCTTTGTTAGCCAAAAGCCGCAGCCAATAAAAGTAATATGTTTCTTAGTTACAGTTGTTAGGCTGTTATCCAGACAAAATAATTATATGAGAAAGGTGTCCTGGATATTTTTTGAAACAAGCCACTGTCAACAAAGCTACATAAACATACGTTTCAATATAGAAATTGTGTTTGAAGGCGCTCCAGATAATATCCAACTGCATTTGAACTTAGAGCTAAAGTTAGCTTTGGAGCAAGTAGTGTTTAGTAAACATATTGAGCAATCTCAGAGAGCCATTCCATGGATGTAATCACATGATATCATATACAGTACCAAATCACCATATCCTATATCTGGAGTCAGGTCATTAACGGTATGTAGATATACTCTGCATGGATACAACCCATGTCACCCTCCCATCCCTACAGAGTTCTCACCTTCCAGGGTATTTCTCCTCCCATCAGCCCCCACCACCACGTCAAAGTCAATGTTAGCCACAGGGTGATCGGCAGGCCTGATCTCAGCTCTCCAGCCAGGCCCTGAAACACAGTCAGAGGAGAGGAGGGAGAGAGGGAAGGGAGGAGAGGAGGAGAGGAGGGAGAGAGGGTCAGTACAGTTCCACATTTACATGGACACACACCTCAAACAAACACACTTATCAGTATACAAACGGGTTAGAGTTCAACACAGATAGAGAGAATGAGAGGACGTGGGCTAGAGAAACAGACACAATATTTACTTGGTTGCTCTTTTGGCATGTTATTTCTGGGGAACAATATTTATGATGCCTATCAACACCATTGGGGAAAAGGGTTTGCTAATCCTGACAGTTCTCAACAAAGAGGGTGACACAGAGGTCACACGCATTGTGTCATTTAGCTCAGCAGACTATACCGTGCTGTAATTATATAAGATGTTGTTTAATGTCATTCTCACTTGTACTGCATAATTGATACCAGAGCGCTAGCTAGCTACAGTATATAATTCAATACGTAGTGGATCAAATGTGGTGAATGATGTCAGCCACAGAGGCAGTGTGAGGCCCCAGCAACATTGGGTTGGCTGTCCACTGTGTAATATCATCATGTCAAAAATGCATTCCATCATGTCAAGGACACTGAGCACCCTGTGACAGCAAAAGTAGGGGGACCATTCTGTATCCATATTTAGTAAAGACTCTTGTTTTTATCAGTTGGTTGACGTCGCGGTCGAGGAGGCCACATGGGATAGCTAATGACCTCCAGTCCAGGAGTCCAATCAACAAAGCTCTGAAGGAGGGAGGGGGGTCAAGTGTAGAGGTATTTCAGATAGCCAGTCTTTCAGCTCGGCGCCACATCACAACACACCACGCAGCGTTCACATCTTGAAGCAGCTAGTACTGTACCGAGGGTGCACGGTTGTAATTACACTGGCTAATCAGCTCTTAATTACCTTCCACGGCCGTAATTTGGCTCTGCTGCTCCTTAAACAAAGCCACTAGGTCTGCTCTGCTCAATGATATTACTGTGTGCTCTGCTCAGCAGCAGCCATAAAATAACATTAGCATCTGGGGAGGTTGCTAACCATTAGCAGCTGAATAGGAATGGTGAAGCAATGATTATGACTTTTAAACATTTGATTTCCATGGCAATGCAAATATCAAATAAAGGGTGATCAGTGCACTGCTGTAACAGTGCTGCTGTTTACTGCTGGTTGCCAAGGAGATATACTGTTGAATGGGGAGGCAGAACTACTCTAACAGGTACTAGTTATGGACTGCAGTAACTCCCTGTAGCTCAAGGTACAGTGATGTAAACCAGAGGAATGCTATGGTGTGGGAGAGAATATACTGTGATGGGATCCTCTGGGCAGCCACATACAGATGTAGGATCTTAATTTGATCACCCTGTTGCAGGATAACTTTCCTGTAATGCAGGAAATGTTAAACTTGTAGTGTATTTGAGGTTTCAAAAGGCTTCTGAAGTTTGTAATTTCCACTTTGAAATTTCAGACTTGATTTTCCCTTGCGAAAAATGTATCAACCCCTACAAAAATGTCCATTAATTATAATCCTCATAATAATTCACATTTCCTGTTGCTGCAGGATTATTTTCCTGCGGTAGCAAACTGGCTTAAATTAAAATCCTACATCTGTAATGGTCTTACTGACTGTTGCAAGGCTCATGTTAAGGTGCACTGTTGACGTTCTCCAAATGCATTGCATTAAGCCCTTCAACCCCAACTCACCTGTCTGATATTGGAAGTCTGGTCCCAAATGCTGTAACCTAGCCCTTGCATGAATCCCTGAACTACATCCAAAAGACCCCTAATGGTGTGCAGGAAGGAGCAAGGTTGATGGGTACTAGGCCAATGTTGATGGATTTCAATGGACATATATGTACTGTAAGTGACGGCCTGTACTGTAAGTGAGCTGTCACTCACCGTCATTCTCCTGGTTCTCTGGAGGTTCCAGCAGCTTGACAAACTCCACATTGACGTGGAACTCCACAGCTACGAGCAGGGCGATTTTCAGCAGCATGAGCTGGAGCTGGCGAATACCTGGCAAACACAGACAAGAATCAGGAGTTCTTAGAACCATGCAAGAAACCCAGCTGGCTTTTCTGGCTTATCTAATACAGTACCTAGTACATGCACACTGCACAGGCATCCATGCATTTACACATTATACACACAACCAAACTTGGCCTTTGGCCTCTGTCACTTGAGAGCTGTAGAAAGATTTGTTTTCAACACCAGCAGTTGGCAGCTCTGCTTTGTCTCTCTGTAGCTAAGAGCAGGTGGAAGGTTCACCTTCCATGGCTCACAACCTTGACATTATGTAATGGAAGGGATTGGATGCATCAAGGCTACCAGACAAAAAACTGCTTTAGAGGGGAATAGGATACAATAGCATAATCATAAGCTAAACATGAATCCAACAATATCCATAAGGAAAATATTCCATTGCAAAAGTAAGTACATGTAGGGCTATGGGAAATGGCTGTTATGACTAACAACTGTTATGGCTGTTTGGGCAGAAAGGTTTCCTGCTGAGATGTTTACCCCACATGTAAAGGTACTTACTGATGTGGTCTATGGCTCCAGCACAGAATTTGCCGTAGAACTTCTTGGCCCCGAGGCCCTTGAGGTCGTGGATGGTGTAGGGCCACAGGTGCAGCACGTTGTTCCTGGAGAAGGTGTCCCTCTTCTCAATCACCACCACCTTGGCCCCCAGCAGAGCCAGCTCGATGGCCGTCCGCAAGCCACATGGGCCTCCCCCGATGATCAGGCACTGCAGGGACAAGAATGACAGAGGGACACCATTATCATTGTGTGCTAATAAATAGGACTCAAAATCGTATTTCATAGTCCCATTTCTGTTACACAAAACACAATACATGTGTACATCCAAACCATATGCCTGCCGAAGAGATCATATACTGCATACGTACCTTATCACCATCATAAATAATACTTACTGAAAATAGAATCCTTGTTTAAACCTGTAGATATACTCAATACAGCAGATGAAATATGAGTTGATTAGTTTGGCTGTATATTGCCAAGTAAACAGACCGAGTGCCTGAGGTGGATGTTTATGGTGACAGTATGTTGTTCGTTACTCTGACCCAGCGCTGGGAGAGTATGTGTCATTACCTCAACCGTAGATCATTATTACAGCCTAGTCATATCAAAGACATGATTCATGCATCTGCCTCACTCAAATCTGCATGAAGTCAGTTCTTTTGGGTTACAGGATCCGTCTGAGAATGTGTGGTGAGAACATGACTTCATCCAGCCTTCTGGAAAGGATGAGAAGGAATTGTTTTGGAGTGTTTGTTCTTCTGAGGAAGCATCTCACCATCCAACCACTCCTGAGTCAGACAGCAGCCCCTGCTGTGCCCAACAAGTTGGGCGGCTTCCTGTTTCCTTAACCTTATAACCAATCAGAGCCTGACGTGCTCTCTCAACCAGGCTCAGCCATCTCAGACCCTAGCTGGCCCACTATGACCTTTTCATTTCAGATCTCTAATTTCCTCCCAGCCCAGCCAACCCACCTACCTGACCTCAAAATCCACCCTGTGTGCAGGGAGGGCCAGCAGTATATTTGAACAGCGGGACTAACTTCCTGCCACTCTGTGTGTCTGCCTGAAGGGCCACTCCCAGGATGTGTCACTCCAATCAGTATTGTGACACGGTCGTGTTTCAGCCCCAGCCTCGGGGGCCTTATCATGTTTGTATACTGTAGCTCTGTGCTGAATGGGGTATACTCTCTCTCTTTTTCTCTCTCTCTCTCTCTCTCTCTCTCGCTCCCACTCCCACTCTCTCTCCTTCACTTTCTCTCCCCCCTCTCTGTCTGTCCCTCTCTCCCAGGGTGCTTTTTACAGAGCTAAACGTGCCAGCTGCCCACATCACACCATAAATGGCACCGCTGCTCCCAGCGATAAAAATAAGATTGGGATTTAGTCATTCTGTTTTCTCATTCTCCGTGTGGGATTCTGCTGCAGGGTGTCATCAGGAGGTGAAGGAGAGCATAACATTAGTAGCCTAGGGGTAAGAGTATGAGGTATTCAATGCTTATCAGGTATACTAGCCAAACCCAGGTGGCTGCGCGTGGCTGTGTCTGGACAGGCCTGGCCCAGTTCTTTTCATCACGAGGAGTGATTAAAGTGGATGGGCTCTTTAACCATTGTCAGGAGAAACAGACAGTTACCGAGATGTGCCAGGTGTGTTAAGCATCCACCGCCACAGAGGAAAAAGAAAAAAAAACATATGGAACAATGCCTTATTCACAAACACAGAACAACATTAGCTAAGTTTATTCAGATGTGCCTAACCACACAATCCCACAATGTTGGGTATTATCAAACCTGATATAAACTAGATAATCACTATCAAAGTAGCACTTTTGTTTTAGTCTGTCTCTATGGTGCTATGAGAGATGAGCGGTTTGTTTTGCCTGTTTCTATGCGGTGCTGTGTTATCGCAGATGGGAGGGCTTCCTGAGGGCCCACTGCAGTTCTGCTGAGTCAGACCACAGCTACTTCCTGTCTGTCCCCCACCTGTGACCTCACCCCCTCACGCTCACCAGGAGAGGAAGACCCCGCCCCCCCTCACCTTTCACTTCTCTCCCGTTCATTACTTACTGCACCTGGAGCCCTATTAGCTGTCAATCAAATCAAAATCAAATCAAAGTTTATTGGTCACGGACACAGTTTATCATACTCACATCATGCGGAATGTAGACTGGAGGCCAACTCAAACATGCTTATCAAAATGGAAAGTGGGCACAATGTCAGGCAGTTGGCAATTATTGTCTCCTAGCATCCTGATCAATCTATGGAGCTCAAGACAATAGGATACTGCTGGACCAAACATTATCCTCTATACCTGCACTTATTTTGAATGAATACAAATGACTCGTTACACTCTACAGCTATATCTCTTTAAGGAGTACAGTATGTCCTCTAAGGTCTAAGACATCAGCTGACTGGTGGTCTTCAGTGTGTTCATGCTGCCCAGCCACTTCAACAGGCCAGCCAGGTTAGATTGACGGGAACACCCCGCAACACTGGGCTGAGTGGAGCTCCTTAACACACATGCTTATTCTGGCTTCACCGGAGTAAAACAAACTGACTGTGTGTGTGAGTGAGCGAGCGGAGCCTGTGCACCTGCAGACATGATGTGATGCCTCACTAGCTTGGCTCAGCGCACGGTGGTGGCTCACGCTGTTTTGGGACAAAACGTCAGACTTAAGGTACTCAATCAACTGAGAGAGACCACCGGGTGAGCCACAACATGAACTGGCAACCCTCGCAGACAGCCATCTGGGACTTCATGGGAAATAGAACAGGAGAAAAGGAGCAACACTCCTGTCTGGGCATGAAATAGGCCTGAGAAACAGGCAAGGAGGGCACAGTGTGTCTCTGAACTTTCAAATCCTACTGTATAGAAGGTTCCATACAGTGAATTATTTGCTCAGTGGAAGCACAATTTTCCACAGTATCAAACCATATAATTAATGGAAAATATGTCTGTCAAGATGTCAAGAGAGGATCACAAGCATGGAAATGTTGATGACACACTATTCAACGATGGGCCATCTAGGGTGAGGGTGAAAAATCGGTCGATGTGCCCTTAAGCAAGGCACTTAACCCTAATTGCTCCTGTAAGTCGCTCTGGATAAGAGCGTCTGCTAAATGACTTAAAGTAAGTAAAGTAAGTGAGATTTACGAGCATTACATAGACAACCTGTTATAAAGGAGAGCTCCTCTGCAATGAGGGGGGAAATACAGTAGGAAAGAATCCTTAAAACACAGTTGTTCTGTCTTTAATGCTAACCCACATTCAGTGGGTTGTGAAGTAAAGAGTTCATGTCTTTGCTGTAATTTAGTCAAAAGGGCAAGACACTGAGGAACTGAATAACAGTGTAATAAACAATAATACAATGAAAACGTTTCCATATGATTCATACATGAGGTATGTGCCAACATTATACAGGCATAACAGTTCACATAAGAAAAAGGAATGAAATGTAGCACTTATGATTGAAGGCATTTCATGAATGCAAAACCATTCCAAACGTATTACCTAGCTCAAGGAGAATTGTGTCTGCACAATTGAGACTACTAATTATCAAGCTATTTGCAATATGATTTAATTATAATAATAGTATGTGTCATAATGTGGAGTTTGATTGCCTGATAATTATAGAGCTTACTTTGTAATTGTGATGTAAAAATGCAGAGAACACACAAATCAGTCCCTTAATAGAAAACAGTCTGTATTCTGCTGCGGCATACTGGTGCTGAAGTGCAGGTCAGGATCTCACTTTCAGGGCATAGCCGGTCCAAATAGTTTCCATAGAATCTGGCACTGGACAGCGGCACCGCCCTGGAAAACTAACAGTCTCTCTCACTGGGCCACTTCCCACTCCAGCTCACTTCTCCAGACCTCTCAGATGAGACGAGCACAAAGTAACTCTGATACTAATAAAATATAAGCTTCTCAGATCTCAGGCTCAAGAAGCCACTACAATAGGCCTAAAGCACTTACATTTAACAGCATAATCAGTGAAAGAGACTAAGCCCAGTAACATATGTTCTCTGACCATTCTGTTCAGTGTATCTGCTTCGTATTTAAATTGAGGCTGTGAAAAAAGAAATATGGGCCTTCATTGTGTTCCTCATTAAAAACGTATATAGAAGAAACCAACAGTAAGTGTGTGTCATTAGCATTATAGCCAGCTGTATGCAGTAATATACTGGGGATGACTTCATATCCTATACAGATTGTATCTCTAGCAGGCATTGGAGGCTGGGTGAGGAATGCTATCACATTATTATTCCCTGTGAACCACCACCAAAACCCTAACTCATCGCTTAAGTCATTTAGTAAAGTAAAGTAATTATCAAGTTGTGGCAGGTGGGCTGCAATTAATCACAACAGGAGACCCATATACAGTACCACTGTCTGTTGGAGCCTTAAATCTCAGATTCTGTAAACAGACTTGAAACGTAAGAAGTGAGGGCAAGTTGAATTCTAGCCTCCGTTTTTTACAAAGTCATTCCTCCTTCACAAAATACACTTCCATCCACACAGCCAGCGTAAATCACATCCTTATGTGAGTCTCTCCTACTGTACCAACAGTATGGTTAATTACCTAGAACCCAGAGACTGTACTGTGCATCTGTTCTATTACATTGATAAATAAGGCAATTTTACGCTGTCCTGTGGCTTGTCAGACTGAGGAAACCTAGCTGAAACTCTTTGGCACGGGACTAAAAACAATCAGACACTTTAATGAAAGGTTCAATAGAACTGGGACAGCACCTAATCATGGCAGTCTCTCAGATCAAGAGGGTATATGGTGTTCCAACCGGGTTTATAGCTGGTGTCAGAGAGAACTTGTAAAACCTGGCTTATTTTGAAGAACTTAAAACACACTTTAATAACAATCTGGGCTGGGTTCCAAACCTTTAGGAGGGCCCAATAAAGAACACCACCCCCTCAGTAGAACCAAGGAAAATAATCACACTCGCTGAGTGATGCTGTCTGTGGATGTGTGTTATGAAAGCATTCTGGTGACTGATTGAGGGTGCTGTGTAGCTTTGTAATGCACCATTCTGCCAAGCTGAAAGAGGCAAGACTCTGTAGAGCTGTGGATGAGGAGGAATGAGGATAGTGCTGAGGTGAGGGAGGGGTGAGTTACAGTAAAGGCGTTCGCATGCTTCCCAGCCGAAACAGTTCGGAAGAGTTTGTTCATATATTATGGTGTTTTTTGTTCGTTTTGGACTTAAGTGAGGGGTTTTTCGGCTGTTCGGGCACTTTTTGAGAAATACTGCATCTGCAACTAAACATCTTAGTTAGATGTAAAATTGCGCGACTAAGATCTCCTCAGTAAAAACGTCAAAATGAATGACAGATTTGTTGAGTTATCTTAGATTATTTTGAGGAAGTATATACTGGCTATGGGGTCTCTAAATTTACAAACAATACTATTGCCGCTTTTTTCTAGTTTTTCAAGCGTAGGTCTTTTAATGGAGTATGCGAGCACACTTGTTTGGTTCGCCTAGCTGAGTTCGGCTAGGTACCAGCCGAACTGAAGCATGCTGACGCCTTAAGTGTCTGTGTGTGTTTGTTTGTGGGCATATGTATGTGTGTGGTGTGTGTGCGTGGGTGCGTGAGTGCGCACGTGTGTACGTACGTGTGTGAAAACTGAGATGAACGTCAAGTTCTGTCTGATCAGAAGAACACATTTTCTCAGCTGTTTATATGCGCCAGCTGCAATAAAGGACAGTAGCTGATTTAATGTGTCCTGACAGGTGCAGTTTAAAGTGATGACCATGACGTTGCCTTAGTCACTAGCTGCCTATGGCAAAGCACTTCTCTCCTAAGGAAGGACAAACTGCCGATTGTCTAAAACCGATTACAGACTGAAAAATTCAGAGAATCAGTCACACCTGTCACTATGGTGACTTGAATCCTGACTAATCATAAGTCCAATGGGTCAGACCAGTTATACAACTCACAGCTACACAAAGATAAGTAAAATGCATAACATTCATAAATATTACTTTCACATGAATATATCGGGATCTTATTTCAAACTACTGTAGGGTGTGCACTGTTCACTGTCAAGACCATTTTCACGCTGATGGTCTTGGAGTTCTTTGTCTCTTTTGTCTCCAAAGTTTTCCATGCAACAGAGCTCTGTCTACAGTGCGCAAATAATACCAGAGGTATATACAACACCTCTGTATCATACAAAGCAAGTGTTCATTGAATGTCATGGTGAGTGGCTGTTAGCTTACCTTGGTGCCCACACAGGCCTGGCCCTTCTTGTACTCCTTGTGGCAGGTTCTCTTGTCCAACTTGGTCCAGAGGGCCTTGGCCCTCCAGGAGGTGAGCCTGGTCTTCAGACTACTGTAGAATGTCTCATGGTCCTGAGGGTCTAGATCCAGCAGCCTGCACAGGATGTTGAAGGACTGCAGGGTGCCCTTACAGGTGGAGGCCTGGATGAAGTTCTCAAACAGCTTCCCTGCCTGGTCCTTCTCCTCCTCTGTCTCCCCCATCTTCCCCAGCAGGAGTGCAGGGTGCTTGGCTGGTGCTGGCTTGCCTTTCTCCCTCTGTCTCAGTGGCTACACCCACAGCCTGGCCTGGCCCCCATGGTCATGCCCAATCTGAGGAGGTACAGAGAAAACATATTGAGTCTGATGTCATCGCACAGCCTTTAGAAGCGTGGAATCCTTAACAGATGGCTTTATGTAACTCTGGAAAAAATTGTTTAAACAGTCAATTAACCAGCTTGCAACAATCACTGCTTTTCTACAGAACTGGTTCCATTGCATTTATTTTACTTCAAATCAGTGACTTACAGATTGTAACATTTGGCATTAGATAATGCATTGTAACATTTCCAGTGTAAGAATAGATGTGTTTGAGCTCTCAAAGAAAACAATTTTATCTGCAGACAAAATAATACAGCATGCAATACTAACTGACTGTTTATAGATAGATCCTGGGATAATGATTGTCTTCATTTCTGGTTAACAATGGACTGTAAAAGAGTATACATTTCCAAAAGTGTACTGCCAAAGTTCAAAATCTCAAAATAGAAACGTGTTTCAAAACCTACAGTATTCTAATTTCTATTAACTAAATAACATACTGTACAGGAGGTCATACAGTAACACAGAGATTATCAACACAATAATGAATCATGGCTGCCATCTACAAAGTACAGTGCATTTCATTCTAATGACCAAATCTAGGGACAAAAATACCAGACAGCTCAGTCAGGTCAGACAGTTTGCACATCAGTGACTTGGCACTAGTGGACATGGACATACTGCTAAGCAGGGAGAAAAAAAAGTGCTTGTCTTGCGGCTTTCGCTCTCCAGCTGAAAACTGGACAGAGGTGAATTTTTTCATCCGCAGAAGGGGGACACCTAGAGTTGTAGACTGGTCTCGTAGGTCTATGTAACATTGTAAATGTAAATCCGGGACACTGAAATTAGTATGATATATTATGTTTGGTATGGTTACATAGGATCGAAGGCTACTTAAGGCAAAATCAAAAGAAGGGTGGAATAACGCGAACGTCTAGGTACCCAAAGGTTGCGTGTTCAAATCTCATCACAGACAACAGCATTTGAGCTAATTAGCAACTTTGCAACTACTTACTACTTTGCAATTATTTAGCCTGTTAGCTAACCCTAACCCTAACCTAACTCCTACCTTAAACCCTAAACCCTAACCCTAACCCTTAGCCTAGCTAATCTTATCATTAGCCACCTAGCTAACATTAACCACAACAAATGGGAATTTGGAACATATTATTTGTTTTGAAAATGTAAACATATTGTACGTTTTGTAAATTCTTAACATATCATTCATAACATATACAATAATCCACAAATGACTACATACCATACGAAACGTAACATATCATACTAAATGTAATGTCTCGGATTTACGTACAGAATAATACGAAATGCTCTGAGACCACGTTGGGAGTTGTGTATTTTTTTTCACTCCCCTCTAGGATTTCAAAGCCATTGAATTACCTATGATAATACTGATGTCTTGACAGGTCTGAAGGATAAAAGTGAAACAGAATATTAGTTTGAGGACAACCTCTCTGTACCATTGAGTGGCCAGTGTGGTACTCAGGCCACACCTTAAATGAGAGAGACCGAAAACTATTCATTAATTATGATTGAGGCTTACATATGCTTACTTTTAGCATTACCCTCACGCACCATATATTGAAAAATGGAACTGACACAAGAAAAATAACCCAATCCCCTCCTTCAAAAACCACTAATCAAACATTTGAAAATCATGCCAGGGAATCCACACCAGAGCACAACATCAAAGCAAAATATGGAAACTTTCTCCAAAAAATGTGGGAACATTTTGTGGGAACTACGGCTTCTGTGAGGTTTGGGAACAGCAGTCCTTTGATATTCAAATCATCCATGGAGAGTGCTGGGCTTGGCCAAGGGAGAGGTGAGCCCAGCCCAGCAGGACCTGCTGCAGTGTTGTCCCCCACTCTCCACCTCCACCCCTTCTAACACCACAGGGCCTGGAAGAGGTACACAATATATACAAAAGCACGTTGACACCCCTTCAAATTAGTGGATTCGGCTATTTCAGCCACACCCATTGCTGACAGGTGTATAAAATCAAGCACACAGCCATGCAATGGCAGTAGAATGGCCCGTACTGAAGAGCTCAGTGACTTTCAACATGGCACCATCATAGGATGCCACCTTTCCAACAAGTCAGTTTGTAAAATGTCTGCCCTGCTAGAGCTGCCCCGGTCAACTGTAAGTGCTGTTATTGTGAAGTGGAAATGTCTCAGCCGCGAAGTGGTAGGCCACACAAGTTCACAGAATGGGATGGCCGAGTGTTGAAGCACGTAGAGCGTAAAAGTCATCTGTCCTCTGTTGCAACACTCACTACACTAGCTCCAAACTGCCTCTGGAAGCAACGTCAGCACAATAATTGTTTGTCGGGAGCTTCATGAAATGTGTTTCCATGGCTGAGCAGCCGCACACAAGCCTAAAATCACCATGCGCAATGCCAAGCGTCGGCTGGAGTGGTGTAAAGCTCGACGCCATTGGACTCTAGAGCAGTGGAAACGCATTCTCTGGTGATGAATCACGCTTCACCATCTGGCAGTCCGATGGGCGAATCTGGGTTTGGCGGATGCCAGGAGAACGCTACCTTCCCCAATGCATAGTGCCAACTGTAAAGTTTGGTGGAGGAGGAATAATAGTCTGGGGCTATTTTTCATGGTTCGGGCTAGGCCCCTTAGTTACAGTGAAGGGAAATCTTAACGCTACAGCATACAATAACATTCTAGACGATTCTGTGCTTCAACTTTGTGGCTACAGTTTGGGGAAGGTAGCGAGGTCCATACAGAAAGGGTTTGTCGAGATCGGTGTGGAAGAACTTGACTGGCCTGCACAGAGCCCTGACCTAAACCCCATCGAACACCTTTGGGATGAATTGGAACGCTGACTGCGAGCCAGGCCTAATCGCCTGACATCAGTGCCCGACCTCACTAATGCTCGTGGCTGAATGGAAGCAAGTCCCTGCAGCAATGTTCCAACATCTAGTGGAAAGCCTTCCCAGAAGACTGGAGGCTGTTACAGCAGCAAAGGGTAATGTAGTGTATCTGCTCTGCTGCCTACTGGAGTTGGGCAGAGTGACCCCACCTCTCCTCTTCCACTGTGCAGCAGGTGTTGAGAGAACGATATGCCATCTGTCCATTAAGAAAAGTGTTATGTCACTGACACATGATAAGCAACTCCATATGGGACGCATTAGCTGGGAGTAAAAATACATGAGACTTGTCTTCTGTTGTCAAGTCCTTGAACCAAGTCTTGGTTCTCAAACAGCTTTCAGTTATGCACTTTGGGAAACAAAGCTAAATAGGCATACTTAAAGGAAAAATCCACTCAAAAACCATCTTTACGTATTTTTTTCATTAGTCCACTGTTGATACAGTCTCAAAATGTGTTTCATGTCAGCAGCAAAGGTTTCAAGATATAGGATTTTCAAGAAGCAAAGTGTCACTCATGATGATGCATTTTGGGACTGTATTACATTTACATTTTAGTCATTTAGCAGACGCTCTTATCCAGAGCGACTTACAGTTAGTGAGTGCATACATTTTCATACTGGCCCCCCGTGGGAAACGAACCCACAACCCTGGCGTTGCAAGCGCCATGCTCTACCAACTGAGCTACAGGGGACTTGTATTACTGTGGACTAATTAAAAAAATAACAAAATATAGTTTGAGAGGATTTTTTCTTGAAGTCCTGGAACATGAGCATTATCTGTGGTCACTTCTCATACCAGTTCTCATACAAACAAAATCATTCTATCTTACAGAATCCTGTTTGGCCTAAATTAGCTGTATATTTTGCATCCTGTTTGCTATCGTTGTTGTTTCTTTGCCTTAAAGTCATTCATCCTGGATAATGGGATGCCAGCTCGTATTGAGGACAATGTGGGAGGGGTGTCAACTTCTGTCCCCCAGGCTGATACATACACCATAGTGACCCCCGGCTCCTGTCCAAGTGTCAGACACAAAACACTATAGGCCTCTCTCTGGAGACAGCCAAGCTCCAGACTGCATTCCAACGCACTGAACTGCTCTATCAACAAGGAACCAGAGGCAATGCCTACTGAGCTCTGTCAATGGTTCAACCAATGAATTATCCAATGGCGTGCTCATGCCTCTGGGCCCATTCTGTAGTCCTTTATGAGTCTGTTTTTGTGATGTAATGTTTATGAGTGGTGAGAGAGGGCTGGGAGGGGCTCAGCATAGCATAAATGTGCTTTATTTATCTTGTGGCAGGGTCATTTTTTTATACAAAGGGTGCATTATTATGCTGCTGTGGGGTAAGGGTGTTCCCTTTAACCGGCAAGGTATAGTACAACACAACATCTGCATTCACACCATTGTTGAAATAACAACAGCAAATGGTGAGAAAATCCTACAGTGGATGGAATGAATGGCCCGCTTTGTTCTCTGGTTATATTGGTCTTGTTGGATGTGACAACATTATGGTATTTGCAACTGTTTTTTCTGTATAGATTTCATAATAAAAAACATAAGGACTTCCGTTGAACTACAGTAAACAACCGCTTGGTCTACCACTAACAAATAGTTGTACTCACAAAACAACATTTTAGGAAGCAATTTTAATATGCGGCTATCACAATATCAGACCATTTCCAACTAAGATATACAGTAACTACAACTTCTGCTTGGAAAGATTAAATACAGACTTGTTAATGACTACATTACCAAGCCAGGGGTTTGTGTTCCAAGCTTCACAAATTGTTTTAAAAAAAAAGCTATAGCATTAAGACCTGCTGGAGAGATCTGTCTGTGTTGGTTAATGAAAGGTAGCACACGCTGTCCTTATGGTCAGCTAGAAGAGCTGAGGCTACATTGTCCTAGATGGAATCCCATGACCTCACCCATGATCTCCATCTCACAGCAGGGAAAGGCAATCCGCAGGCAGACAGCACCAACCCACAGAGCACCGGTAAAAAACACACACAAAAAAGGAGAGAGAGAGAGAGAGAGACACAAAGAGCAGACCGCAGCTGGGATAAATGGCCATTCCAAGCTGTTTTTACGTGAGCCTGGATGTT